TCACTCTCCATCCTCTTCCACAAACCCGTCCACATCACATACACATCACACACACAAACACACAAACACACAAAATGGCCCCCCGTATCCCCGCCGCAAAGTCCACCGAGACCCTCTGCTACGGCGTCGCCACCGTCGGCGCCTTCCTCCCCATCTACCTCATGCTCCCGGGAGCCGAGCAGCGCCTCGCCTCCCAGACGACAAAGTGGGCGCCCCGCTGGGAGCGCAACCTCTCTTACTTCACGCCCGCCGCCGAGAGGGGCATCAAGCGCGTCGAGCCGCCCGTCTCCAACATTGTCCGCCGCATCGACAACAGGCTACCCCTCGAGAAGATGGCAAAGGGCCTCGACAAGAGGATCAAGAACGGCATTGACCGCTTCAACAACACCAAGTAGATGTCCGACGGAGACCATGGTGTTGGAGGGGGGAAGGTGAGGAGAGGGGTGGCGAGAGTTATGTAAACCCGCGTATACACTTGTGCAGCTGGATAGGCTGAGGAGAGAGTGGAGGATACCGGAAAGATGATACCACATCTGGCTCTAGAGATATAGAGGATGCATTAGATATCTCATAGAAGACACAGCAACAAACAGAGAACAAATAAAGCAGTTAAACTAAACACTTGTCTCGACTCCCTGTGCAATACCCCCATGTGCCGCAATGATCCAACTCGCAATAGTAATTCCCAGCACTGGCTGTACGTTTTGCTCGAAGCGTGCCGCCACAGAAAGCCGTAGTTTCATACGTTTGGTGGTGGGCATGGATGCTTGCATCTCGCTGCCACCTCAATCTGCAGATAATCAGGCCATGATGAACGACCATGAACGAAATGCACTGTCTCACCTCCCCACGAGCGGGGGTTTTCCCTTTCCCATGCCGCATTGGATTCCCCAATTCTTTTCGTCATTGCCCGTTACGCGATACAGCAATACAACGTTGATGGTATTTTGCAAAACAAAAAAAGAAGGGTTTGCAGGGAGCGGTCCGATGTGCTTGAATTAGCCGCCGAAGCGAATCGCAAACGACCTGTTTTGTGGCCTCATCCTTTCGTTTCTCTGCCTGGCACTCGCCATGTACAATGCGACCGCATCTGCATCTGCATGTATCGGCACGGCACCGCCCGCACACTGGCCCGGATGGCTTTGTTTCCTCATCGAAGGGGGGACCCAGAGATTGATCGATCTTGTCGTGATCTCGTTCCATTTTATTTTCTTCTCCGCCGCCCGCTTCCCGAGCCTCGAGGCTGCTATGCAAATGCACTCGCGTTCCCGCGTGCATCTCTCGTAAACGATCGATGGCGAATTCCCGAATGATACCAACACTGGTTGGCACGCGACGACAAAAGAAGCCGGCCGTCTACTGTGCATCTGTTGGCGTTGCCAACGAAACGAAACCTCGAAGACTCGAACATTTCATCGAATACATGGCGCTGCCCAGAGCTGAATAGCTACGCAGTGAGTGGACCGGATACCAGCCGCTGGAGATGCCCTTGGCCCTCCATCTGCCCATCTGAGATCATTGCCCGGTGTCCAATGATCTGCCCGACAATGGAAATGCGGCGGGCATCTGCATCTCCAAGTTGTGGTTCTGAGGAGAACCACTCGGTTCCTCCGTGCTGGGCATTTCATGCGGGTTGATTTGGCCCACATATGTCGAAGACTCTATGCAAACTGCCAGAGTTGTCCTATAAGTTGTTCCTGTCAGCCCACATATCCATCATGTCGTAAGTTCTTCCATACCAGCCGCCAACGTTTCCTCTCTCCCTGCATCGCTGCCCTGCAAGACATACGCTTTGTCAGTGCAATCCGGTCATACTTTTATGTTGTTCTTCATTTCGATCGGGACTTAGTTGTATTTGAAGAAGAAATGCCCAATTCGGTCGACTGGGAGGCAACTGCTGCAGGACAAATGATGGTCCTCGTTTGCGGAGCTATCTCCTCACGTCACGAAAGCTGGACCTTCGTTAACGTCGTTTGTCGGAGAAGCTTCCCCCGGCTTGAGGCTTGAGGACAACCTTTTGCAGTAATAAAAGCCCTGTTGGCAATGTGAAGGCAGCGCGGCAAGCTCCTCGGAGGTGTTCAAAAATCTCCGGGCCATCGATGGTGTTGTGAGCAGCTTCAGCCCGTCATAATGCCGGATCCGCTAGCTCTGCGCCGAGTAAGTGAGCTGCTTCAGGCTTCTTGGCTGTTTCTATCAAGATTGTAGTCCTTCGGAGTGTCTTTTGCTGGGCGGTCTCCCGTCAAGACATATTGTAGTGTCCTTATCATGAGCTGCCTTATGACGACTATCAAAAAAGAGCACAGAAAAAGAAGCTCCAAGCATTTGACATGTGGGGCCATCGTGAACGTGCCTGCCTTATCTATGGCCATTTGGCAGCACCTGACGAGACTGTCCCTCGGCTGTCAACGGCTGGCCACGGTGTAGAACCCACCTGCCAATTTCCAGCGCATGAACCATCACGACGCGGACGCGCTGTAGAGCCGACCCAAAGTCGCATCCCACCATCCAAATGTCGATCTGTTGACGGCGCATTCGCAAATCGTCACCCGATCCCTGTCGACGCTACCGCAAGAAGGCTCGATATGACTCTACACTCGTCGAGGCGCAAAAATTCCTTCAGTCACGAGCTTGTCACGCACAATTTTCGACCGTACCTGAACTGAAGCATTTACAACCTCCAACACACCATCTGGTAATCCTGTTTTGCGCTATAGAACGGAAAACCTCGACAATGAACTCAATGGCCCTCCCCCGAGCTCTCGCGAGCACCACCTGGCGCGCAGTCGCCGCCAACCCCTCGGCACCGGCCTCTCGCGCGGGGTCCTTTGCCCAGCGATGCTATGCTACCCGCGCCGCGAAGACGACGGCCGCCGCTGCGCCTGCTACTGCCACCAAGTCCATCACTGCGGCGAAGAAGACCACGACCACCACGAAGAAGAGTGTGAGCACTTCTGCTGCTAGCAAGAAGGCTGCTGCTGCTGCTGCTACCACCACTACCACGGCTGCTGCTGCTTCCAAAACCTCCTCGGCCTCGACCAAGGCCAGTACCACCACCACCACCACCACCACCAAGGCGGCGGCCGCTTCGAGCACGACCCCGAAAGCTACGAGGACTATCAAGAAGGCCACTACGAGCACCACCAAGGCTGCTACTGCTACATCCGCTGCTGCCACCAAGAAGGCGGCTGCAGCGAAGGCTGCCGCTCCTCCTCCCGGCCCTGCTGCTGCTACCCCTGCTGCTGCCGCCGCCGCTGCCCCGAAGACACCAACCTCAGTCCCCAGTCCCGCGCCCACAGCAAGCTCTCCCACGAAAACCCCGACGGCATCCACCCCGAAATCGGCCTCCGTCACGGCGGCGGCGGCACCGCCGACAGCAGCTCCCATCCGGCCCTACGCACCCACAACACCCCCTCCGCCGCCAGCCCCAGAGGCGGACGCCCGTCCCAAGCTGAACCCGAACAGCAAGGAATACAGGAAAGCATACGGCACGGCGGCGAGGAAGTGGACCGCGACCATGGTGGCCATGCCTATCCTCCTCGTCACCTCCTACTTCCTCTTTGACAGATGTGAGCTAACACCCTTTTCACCACTACCCCTTTCTTGTCAGGATCCAATTACTAACATGGTTTCACAAAGTGGCTCTTGGCCATGAAGCAAAAGTAATGCCGGATTTTGAAGGTGCTAAGAAGGCCGCAGAGGCGGAAAAAGAGGTGGGAAAGTTGATGGAAGAAGTACAGGCGCAAGCCAAGGCGGCATAGAGCCGTTAACCATAACCATATTGTAATGATCTTGATGAATACCCACTCCTATTCTTACCTGGCCGACTTATATCTCCCCTTCACGGTGTTTTGACCCAGCGCCCGCTCTTCCCAATGACGAAGAGCCTTCACACTGGCGGCGACAGCATTGGCTGTGGCCCACGTGAGGACTTTGTTCAACGGCCAGCGGCACAGGCGGTTGTTTTCGTCTTGCTCACAAACGCATGTACTGGCCCTGGCTTGATATCTTGAGTAGCCAACAAACTAGCTTGTATCACCCCTTTAGATCAAAAGAGGGTCATATGTCCATTCCAACTTGAACTCTGTTATAGGCGTCTTCGGGAATTCATCTTGGTGCCAAGCTACCACATTCGATTTCGCGCCAGCATAACACCCGCACCAAGCAGTCCTGCGACAAAGACCCCGCCGATGACAATGCCTGCGATAGCGCCTGCTCCAACTGATCCGGTATCGGGAATGGGCTCGTCGGCCGCTGCTATGGCGAGCAAAGCGCATGCGACAAGCGCATGGGAGGAACTCGGCTGGGCATTCTAGTGTTTGGAGAGGGTGAAAGGAATTTGATATTAGCTTTGAGGCTTTCCTTGAGGAGAATGTAAGATTTGAGCTGTTGTAATTCAGACTGCGGCAATTCTGCTGACTTCTCAAGTGTAATATCGAGCTGTACTTATTTACATGTCAGGTCCGCTGAGAGATGCTGTGTATCATTCTTTCACAGTTACTCCATACACTGATTCGCAGCTTTGGGCACTGCTCAGATCCAGATGAGGTAGATGTGCCGATGAAATAAACCACAGGTGACGTAAGTGATACACGATATGTCACGTCTGGTCTTGGGAGTGAATGTGTTTGGAATAAGCTGGAGCCGCCGTCCGGAATACACACAGTGAGTCTGAGCCGGTAAGCCTTATCATTAGTCTCGTGCCTTCCCATCGTAACAACAAATATCGGGCCTGGTGACCGAATGGTGAACGTCGTGAAGTGCTGACTAGTAGTCCGTGATGCTCCGTACTCTTCAGGATTCCGGCGTTCGAACCTCGGTCGGCTCCTGTTGTTCTTGCTTTTTTGTTTTGACTTGTTCGGGATGTCGTATCATTTGCTGCTGTGTTCATCATTCAACCCTAGGGCAGCGTCTCAAAATCTTTCTGTAGATCCGTTGGCTCACTACATCGACCGTGCTGAAGGTAGGTAATTTGAATATTCACAGAGCAGCCTTATGGGACGGATTGCTTATCTTCTCGAACGTGATACTAGGTCTGCTATTCATTACAGTCTAGATACTTCCTTGCCCCCCTCCTGGTGCTGCTGGTCCTCCTCCGGATTCCCGCAAAACGTCACAGTCTTTCTCGGACCCATGATAGTGCCACTCTTGGTGAGCACCTTCCTCTTCCCAGCCGTCGTCAGCGGCGGATCGTCATCCTCATCTCGGATATAATATGCCCAGTCCGCGGTTTCATCCAGTTCCGTCTGCGAATACCCGTTCCCCAACCACGCGAACCTATTCCCGGCGTACTTGACCTCCAGATCATCCCACCGAACCTCCTTGATCGCTTCAATATAGTGCAGTGTCGAGCCCGGCCACAGCGCCACGACAGGTCCATCATCACGGGGCTTATACCACGACCGACACGAATCCGACCAGACGGTCTGCGGCATGAAAGACTCCTTGTAGTCCACAAAGTCACGAACGGCTTCCTCTTTGGGCGTGAAGGAGACGACATTGGTAGTCTGGTAGCGATCAATCACCTTGAGCATCCAGTCCGCCTGCGCCTCGATGGCCGGGAGGACGGGACCGTTGCCGATGGGGCAGTTGGGCCCCAGCATGATAAAGTAGTTTGGGAACCCTGATGCACCCATGCCCAAGTATGATTCGGGATCCGTGGCCCATTTATCCTGGAGGTTCTCGCCCGAAGGGCCGACGATGGGGAAGCGCGGCTTAAAGGATGTATCAAACCCCGTGGCGCATATCAGCACGTCTACGGGGTATTCCCGCTCGTCGTCAGTGACGCAACCGCGTTCCGTAATCCCTCTGATCCCGCCGTAGACGACTTCCACGTTGGGCTTGGTGAGCGACTCGAGGTAATTGACACCCGGCGTCAACCGACGACAGCCCACGCTCCAGTCCGGAATGAGCTTCGACTCGAGCGAGGGGTCGTTGAGCTTCTCCTTCATCTGCTGGATAAAGTACGCATGCGTGTCCTCGTTGATCTTGTTGTTCTTGAGGAATATCCCAAATTGCCCATTGAGACCAGACTCGTTATTCTTGCGATACTCGAGGAGGGCCCCGGGCTTCGTAGCGAATTCCGCCTTCTCCGCGGGGCTGAATAAGTGCTGTTCGAGTCCCTGGGCGGGTGACACCCACGTCGGTCGGCGGATGAAGGTCGTTACGCGTTTGCACTGTTCGCGAATCGCGGGCAGGACTTGGATGCCTGAGCTGCCGTTGCCAATCAGGCCGACGTGCTTGCCCTCCAGAGAGACGGCGTCGTCCCAGTTTGCGGTGTGAAGCAGCTTGCCGCGGTATTTTGAGAGGCCTGGGATCTCTGGCCATTTCCAGTTGTTGAGGACGCCGCCTGCGTTGATGAGGAAGTCGCAGTGATCGACGATGGTTTCGCCGGTGGATGTGTCTTTGACGTGGACGTCGTAGCCGCCGGTTTGTGGGTTCCAGTAGGCGCCGATGACCTGGTGCTGGAGCTTGATGTATCGGTATAGCGAATACTTCCTAGCAAAGTTTTCAAAGTATTCGAGGATCTCCGGGGCGGGTGGGTATACGGCGGACCAGTCCAGCTTTGGTTCAAAAGTCCAGGTGTAGTTGTGCGATGGAAAGTCACAGGCGCATCTGTGGAGGTCAGAACTTGAAGATGTTGGGTCTAGGAAGCCTTCAATGACTCAGATTAGAGGTATACGTACCCGGGATACTTGTTCTCGAACCATGTCCCGGCTACCGAGGGGTTCTTTTCATAACACTGAAGCGAGTAGTTGGAGAAGTGCCGTTGGAGCTTGTAAGCCAGCAATAACCCAGAAGCACCCGCACCGACGCAGATGATTCGGACGTGTCTCTCGCTGTGAATTGGACCTGAAGGGCGTCTTGCCGCGTCTCTATCTCCCGCGCTTGTGGGTTCTGGGAGCAGAATGTCGCCCATGGTTATATCAGAGTGACTCGGACAGGCTCGGATGGAGTGTACCAAAAGTAAAAGTGATCAATGTTACATGAAAGCCAAGCTCGAGGAGCTTGGTAGTAAGAGAACACAGAGAGGCGAATATTTATGTCAACGTCTGGTAGCCACGATATTGATTATGAAGAAAGGTTGCTAGCAAGCCGGGGAGCTGAAAGTCCCCGGTTACCAACGTCACTTCTCAACTCATCTTATCTTTTGACTGGAGATATATCCCTAGCGACCACAAACAGACAGTATTTCCGCCAAAGGGAAGCCATAATCTTGTCTGCTTGTATCTAGAGGTGAGATCCAAGCCTACAGCTCTTTCCAGACACGGCAGACATCAGACAACCTCGGCGGTGGCGTCTAGGCTGCCCCAGAAGACGGCGGCATGCATGTCATTCTGCAGGTGCGGGCAGCAGTAACATCAGACGATCAAGTCCCTTGTGGCATCGATAACAAATCCAAGAGTCATTTCGAGTCAGGATTGTAAGCCGCAAGACGAGTATACTGACTCGAAAGTTTATCCTGCCTATAAGCAAGGCAGGTTATTTGCTAAGAGATGGCACCCACTCGGGCCCAGCGGAATATGGAAACATCAAAGATGGGGTGGGTGCTGATCGAGACCAACTTTGGCCGAATCTGATACGCCATTCTCGTTGCTTGCCATGCTGTAGAGTAGGTGCGAGCGCAACTTGGCTGATGTCGTCTGTACACGAGCCCGAGACAAGTATGCATGCTCAAGAGGGATTGGCCAGACGTCCTTCGGCAGTTGTTCCTGAAGTAAAAGGGTGTTGCCGCCCCGGGAAGGATCTAGTGTCCACACTTCACTATGCTGCACTGTATAAGTGATCTTCCGGATGTCATACGTAGTATATGACCGCAGGTCTCGGCATAAGCCCGACATAATAGACCACATCAAGGTAGCAGTAACGATCTTGGCCAGAGGGGCAAACGCGGCCTTGCGGGGAAACAAAGTAGAAGGTGGAAACGACAGCGGGTATGCCGGAAGACCTCTACCGGAAAACGGGGCGTGGACTGGGGTTACACAAAAGATACACGCCTTCCTAGGCTTGACTTTAAGTAACATCGACGAGTAACGTAACGGACGTATTGGAGGGGATGCCACTCAAGCTCGCATCGAAGTGCGGAAGACTTCGCTTGATTGAGAATGGAGCTCATCGAGATCCTCGTCACGATCTTGTCCAGAACAAAATGTGTCTGCATATGAGTTGTCCTTTACATGCTGTTGGACATTTGATGATAAGTTGCAGATGCTCCATGCATGACCAGCCAATCAGGTTCAGAAATTGAAGTCCATAACCATCGCCCCCAGCGCCAAGTATCGAAAGACGTTGGTTATGTAACCCCATTATCAACTCACAACCTTGATCTCGGACTCCTTGCGGCCTCCTCTATTGCCGCCGCATCTCTCTTAGACCACTCGCGCATCAATTTCCTCTGAATCTTGCCGCTCGCAAGCTTCGGAACCTCATCGACAAAGACCACACCACCGACGAGCGCCTTGTGCTTGGCAACCCTCGGCTTGATCCATTCTTGGATATCTTCTGGCTTGACCTTCCCTTTTGAGATGTCTTGGAGAGCTACGTAAGCTCTAGGCCACTCATTGCCCTTACTGGGGTGTGGTGTCAGTCTTTTTGGAAAGCTGCAGGATATTCCAATATTATGTGAATTGCTTACAGTGTGATTCCAACAACGGCCGCGTCTGCTACGTGCTCATTCTCGAGCAAGACAGCCTCCAATTCTGCAGGCGCAACCTGAAGGGCGTTGACTTTAATAAGCTCCTGCAAACTTGTTAGAACGCTTTTCCAGAATCGAGGTGGCGAGGCAAGGCCCTTACCTTCTTACGATCCACGATCCAGAGGTAGCCATCTTTGTTGCAGACGGCGATATCACCCGTCTTCAGCCAGCCATCCACCAACGTCTCCTTGGTAGCAACCTCGTTGCGCCAGTATCCGAGGCAAATATTGGGGCCCCTAATACACAACTCACCCGGTTTGCCAAAGCCAACCTCCTTGCCCTCGTCGTCCACCAGCTTACAATCACAGTTTGGAACCAGCCTACCCACACTGCCATTGTCGTCTTTGATGCCACCAGGCACCATCACACCCCCGCAAGTCACCTCCGTCATCCCCCACCCCTGGTTGATCTGCACGGAGAACCTCCTCTGGCACTCATTCTGCAGCTCGCGTGACAACGGGGCCGCTCCGCAGAGCATGTCCTTGACGCTCGACAAGTCGTAGCGGGCCGTCTCTGGCCGCTTCGACAGCATGACGAGAATCGGAGGCGCGACTTGCAGGTTGGTGATCTTGTACTTGCCAATGGCGAAGAGGAAATCTTCATACCGGAACTCTCTCATGATGTATATCGGAACACTCAGCTTCATCGCCATGAGGACGGCGTAGAGCTGGCCGTAGGCGTGGTAGAGGGGTAAGAAGCCGATCCATCTCTCCCGCGGCCGGTTCTCAAAGGAATACGGCTTTTCCGCGTATCTCATGTAGATCGTCTGCTCGACGTTGGCGATGAGATTGTGGTGTGATACGCAGACACCTTTTGGTAGGCCGGTCGTGCCTGATGAGTAGTTGATGGTTGCAACGGTGCGGGTTGACTCTTCCGCGGTCAACTCTGGCCATTGATACGAGTCTGCCTGGGCTGGCGTGCCAATCATCTGCCTCCAGTCCGGAACACCTTGCTTGACCGGGTTCTCAACCTCGGATAACTGAAAGACCCGAGAACGAGGTATTTGGGACTTGTCGGCAGCTTCCAAAACCTGGTCTAGATGATTTGGGTGGACGAGTACAACCTTGGCCGCAGTATTGGTCATTTGATGCACAAGCTCTGTACAATGTTCAGTTCAAAACATCCAATGAATAGTGGCGGTTGATTTGAGAAACATACCGGGGACTGTGTACGCTGGGTTGGCGCCGCTGAATACGCAGCCTACAGACACAATACCAAGGTATGCCACCGGCACGAAGATTTGGTTGGGTGTGCATATCAAGACTACATCGCCGCGTTTGAGACCGAGGTTTTGGAGGCCGAATCCAAGTCTCTTCACCCATTGCAGCATCCGTTTTGGTGAAAGGTTGGTCTTTTCATCTTTACAGTCGATCCATATGGGTTCATCAGATGGTGTTGACTCTTTGGGAAATAGGTATGAGAGGAGGTTCGTCTTCGGAATATCCAAGCGCGGATAGGGCGAGTTGAACACCATTTTGATCGGTGGCTATCTCTGGTACGCTCAGGAAATAGAATCGAATTGAGGCTGGACGCTTAGGATCGGAGAGTTGAAGGGGAAATCCACAACTTGAATGAGATGTTGAATGTGTTGAATGTCGCCAGATCTAATTTCACGAAGCTTGAAGGTACATCTCAACCTAATGAGTCTAGAGAGTCAGGCATTATCATGAAATCTGACTACGAACTCTGACATGGGTCCGCGTCTGTTGTACCGTCGTCACCCCATCCAGATCCTGGCACCATGGCCGTGTCTTCCCTCGGGATCGTCTCGGTAGGGTGCTTTATGCGGGGTAGCGTTGGGGAAACCTGAGGTCGTGCCGGGCGCCATGTTGCTACCCCGAGTTCCCCGGGAGGAGACTAAACCGAGGCGACCGACAATAGCCCCGGGAAGCCTTTTGCGTTGGGCGGCTGAGTATCTTGATCTGACGCTTTTGTTGTGTTGTGATAGTAGGTTGGTGAGAGTTTCGCTTGCCGGCCGACCCGTCAGTGATCCCCACCATGTTGGAACTCAAAGACTTCGGCTCTACGTTCTCCCTTGAGGGAAAAACTGCCCTCGTCACTGGGGGGTCTCGTGGATTAGGCCTGCACATGGCCACGGCGTTCCTTCTCTCGGGTTGCTCTCACGTCATTATCACCGCCAGAAAGTTGGAGGGCGAGCAAGGCATCAGCCAGGCCATTGAGAAGCTTAACCGTCTCCCCAATACTCGAGGAAAGGCAATCGGAATCGCTGCAAATGTCGCCGACTCCAAAGATATCGTTCGCCTCGTCGGAGAAGTCAAGGACACCGTGGGCGAAAAGGGGCTGAACATCTTGGTCTGCAATGCTGGAGCAGCGTGGGGTTCCAAGTTTGAGGATGCCCCGCCCAGCAGCTCAATCAAGATCTTGGATCTCAACGTGAGGGGCGTGTTTGAGTCGGTGCAAAAGTGAGCGCATTTCAATGAGTGAGTGATATTGTGGCACGATGTATTGACGTCCCTCTAGATTCCTACCTCTACTGGAAAAAGCAGCGTCAGAAGACGACCCAGCTCGGGTTCTCACGGTGAGTTCGACAGCGGGCAGCAATGTACCGCACGTTGGAGAACACGGTACTATCATGTACGCGGCATCCAAAGCAGCTGCCAATGTGAGTTCTTATCTCTGAATGAGATGATAACGAGATGTGGTGTCACTCACACTTCTTTTTCCCAGCATCTGGGACGTAACTTCGCGGTCGAACTGGGCTCGAAGAATATCACGTCCAACATCATCGCACCTGGCTTTTTCCCGTCGAAACTGGCACAGGGTCTCATCGACAACCTTGGAGGTATCGAGGAGCTGAGCAGAGGCAATCCTCTGGGTCGGCTCGGAGAGCCTGAAGACATCGCTGGAGTCGCCGTGTTCCTATGTTCTCAAGCAGCGAAATACGTGTAAGTGCGGTTCCGATGGGTTCAAATGTTCCATACTGATCCTCTTGGGCAGGAATGGCGTGGTCATCGAGGTCGATGGAGGGGCGCGCCTAGTTGCTGGAAGACAGTCCAAGATCTGAGATGATGGGTTGTTAGAATATGGCTAGATCATAGGATACCATCACTCCTCATGACGTGCGAGAGCTTTAGAGACGACCCGATGAGACATGAAGATGGGATAGGCGCCGTGTAGCTGCGGTCATAGGGCAGTAGTAATGACATGACCCGCTATTCGGAATACACAATGATGTACGGCTATCATTGTCTCCTCAGTACGTCAAGTTTACCATGACAGTCTTGGGCTCCGTGAACGTCCTCAGCGCATTGATCGCGCCCTCCCGACCCAGCCCACTCTCCTTGGTACCACCAAACGGCGCTGTCACGAACACCAGACTGATACAGTTGATTCCCACCATGCCACTGTCAATCTCTGAAGCAACTCTCAAGCAACGATTGATGTCTTGACTGAAGACGCCAGCCATGAGCCCGAAGTTTGTATCATTGGCCTTCTCAATGATCTCCTCCTCGGTCTCGAACTTGTTGATGATGGACACTGGCCCAAAGATTTCATTCCGAGCTATCTCTGCATCTTGCGCCACGCCCTCGAAGACGGTGGGCTCGACATAGTAGCCCTAAAAGCTGGCTGTTAACAAGTTTCTCTCGTCTGGACGGCAAACGTGATTCCTCACGGACAGAAATTCTTACCTTCTCACCAACTCGGCCTCCACCAACCAAAAGTGTCCCTTGACCTTGCTGACCACGCTCAATGAAGCCTTGAACCCTCTCAAACTGAGCTTTATCAACCAGTGGGCCGATGGTAGTTCCCTCAGCGTCCGGGTCACCGACGCCCTTGAGCTTCTCCTCCATGGCCTTCTTATACCCAGCGAGGAACTCATCGTAGATCGGCGCCTCGACATACACCCTACTCGCAGCGATGCACACCTGTCCCGTATTCGCCGTGATGGCATTCGCGCACCAGGTGATTGCGTTCTCGAGGTTACAGTCCTTGAAGACGACTGCGGGCGACTTTCCGCCAAGCTCGAGCGTCACGCGCTTCATGTTGCTCTTGGCCGCCATCTCCTGGATCTTGCGGCCTGTGTTGGTCGAGCCTGTGAAGCTGATCTTGCGCACCTTCATGTGGCTAGCTAAAAGTGCTCCTGTGCTCCCATCGCCAGAGACGATTTGGAAAACGCCCGGCGGGAACCCGGCCTGTTCGATGAGGGTACCGAAGGCCAGAGCTGCAAGCGGCGTCTTCTCCGATGGCTTCAAGATGAAACAGTTGCCCATTGCAAGCGCGGGACCAGCCTGGATGAGTCTTCAGTAGCACGAACTAGGTACGAAGAGATAGTCCGATTTATTGCATACCTTCACGCCAATGATCCCAACAGGGCCATTCCAGGGAATTATTCCACAGCAAACGCCAATTGGCTCGTTGCGAACAATCTTCAAGAAGCCTACATCCACATCAGTAAAATTCGACACTGTAAGGCATGCCAAAACTCACCATCTTCCTGAGGGTACGTCTCGCCGGGAAACTTATCCGTCCAGCCCGCAAAGTACCTCAGACTGTCACTGGCCATCTTAATCTCCAAGCTCCCAAAGGTTGCCCACGGTGCGCCGAGAGTGAGACGGTTAATGTCCGCCAGAACCTGACCGTGCTGCTCGACCAAATCGGCGAGTTTGTTGAGCATGTCTCGCCTCACGGTCGGAAGCGTCTTTTTCCACTTGGGGAAAGCGGCTTCTGCTGCTGCCACGGCGGCGTCGACGTCCTCTTGTCCGCCGAGGGGGATGTCGTCGGCTACTGGAGATGCGTCCTTTGGGTTGAAGAGCTCCATCTTCTTGCTGTTCTTGGAGTTGACATACTAAAGTTTTGTCATTTACACGAGTTCTTTCCAGAGAAGAGCTTGTTACTCGCCTGGTTGTTGATGTACAACTGCTTGGGGAGGTTGGTTTTGCTCCATGGGAAATCCGACTTGATACCGTTCACAGCTTCCTTCAACGACGACCCTAATGTATCCATGATGAAAAGATGTTTGAGGTAACAGTACTGTATAGATATTCCTAGACGATGGATCAAATGGAATCTCAATCGACAACACAAAACAGGAAGATGTTAAATGAGCAAATCCAATCTTCATGATCTTCTTAACGTCCACAACTTCGGCCATATCCCACTACACAGGGCGTCAAAGGACCATGGAGATAAGTTCGGCGTCCTCCTTCATTCCGGTATCACATAATCACGGCGTCAAAGGACCATGGAGATAAGTTCGGCGTTCTCCTTCATTCCGGTATCACATAATCACGGCGCATGAATGCGCCCTCGATGAGGGGATCGTTGTTCTCGCCTGGCCTGAGACGCATGCACGTCGAACTTGGCGCAGCTCACGCAGCTCCGACGCCAATAAAAAGCTCTTGGGTTTCCACGACATCACACGAGAAACGCCACCAAGCTGCGGGGATCCTTTGTTGGACCAAAGCTGACGATAATACTGGGCCCTTTTGGACATGTTCAATGATGGGTAAGTATTGTCATCCTGAGTCAAGTTGGATGTCTCAATCAAGCATAACTGATTCGGGAGACGGGTTGACTTCCCGCAGGATCAGCGTATTCCCCACTTCGGTTACTGTGATTTGATCGCAAACGTTTTTGGCTGCCGGGGTATGGCGCAGGATTCATGAGTGGTGCAGTGTTCGAGATGGCTATCGCCTAAGGGGTTTTGATCAAGAAATTGATAGGGAAAGAAGTTATCGACCGAAGGAAAGCCCATCCAACTGGAGATAGGTCCCAAAAAGCATAAGGAAGTGATGAGTATTTCTGACACTAGCTTACTGGGTTGTCAGTCCGTACCTCAGTGAAAGACTGAAAGACCGAGCATTCTCGTTTTCTGAAGAGCTAATTTAGAACTCCTTGCAGCAAAGCCCTAGTCAAATGATATATACCTCTCTCCGTACTGCTCTGCGAACTTCTTACAGCGTTCCTGGTACACCTTATGCTTCTTGATAACCTCTTCCGCCGTCTTCATCTCCTCTCTCCCAACCTGATGCCGATGCGCCGCATCAGGCCCGTCCGCAATCCTCACAAAGCGCGCATACGTCCACATCTCAGGGAGCGGCGTATGTTGCGTCAGACCCTGGCCTCCATACATCTGCATACACTCGTCAATAATCTTCGTAGCCATCATGGGCACCAAGATCTTGCTCTGGGCAATCGCTCTCTTGCCAGCCTTGTTCCCCAAGAGATCCATCGTATCCGCGGCGTTCAGGACGACTAGGCGGGCGGCATCCAGCTCGAGACGCATCTGAGCAACACGTTCAATATTGGAATCGAACTCGCCGATGAGTTTTCCTCTGGGTTTCTTGCGAGAGTCATTGCAGCGGATCAGAGCTAGCTCGTAGGCTCTCTCGCATTGCCCGATTAATCGCATGCAGTGGTGAATCCGGCCGGGGCCCAGGCGGCCTTGGGCGATCTCGAAGGCGCGTCCTTCTCCGAGGATGATGTTTTCTGCCGGGACGCGGACGTTCTCGTAGAGGTATTCTCCGTGGCCCTCTGGCGCATGGTCGTAGCCCATAATTGTAAGGTTCCGAACTTGGCTGATTCCTGGCGTGTTGCAAGGGACGATGATCATGGAATGACGAGACCATTTTGGATTATCCGGATTGGTGCAGCCCATGAGGATGTAGAACGACAAATCCTTGTTCCAGAGGCAGTTCCCGTAGAGTTTCCTTCCATTGATTACGTAGGAGTCGCCGTCACGCCTGATGCTGATTCCGATCTGTGTGGCATCTGAACTCGCGACATCCGGCTCGGTCATGGAATAGGCAGAGGATGCGGTGCCGTCGAGAAGTGGCTGGAGCCATTTCTTCTTCTGTGCTTCGTTGCAGTACTTGGCCAAAAGCTCGATATTGCCCGTCTCTGGAGCGTGACAATTCATCGTCTAAAGCAGGTCAGAATCTTATTTTGATAAGTAGCCATGAAGGAGGGATGTCATCGTACTTGGGCTGCCCAATAACACCGGCCCATGATCTCCGCGCAGCAGGAATACTCCAAGTTTGTGAGACCGGGACTCTCCTTGAAGTGGTTGGGTAGGAAAAGATTGAATAGGCCGCGTTCTTTGGCCTTTTTGCGCAACTCGTGTATCAATGGTGGTGTCGTCCAGCGCCGGGCCTCGAGCTGGGCTTTGAAGACTTGCTCTCTTGGGATACACTCATTTTCGACCCAATCGTACACAGCCTTGATCTTCTCAATAGCTAGAGGTGAGAGCTTCGCCTTTACCCATGGTGGCAGGTGAGCAAAAGCAGGACTCTCCATGGCAGGGCGACTTCGTTACTCGTGGGCTCGGTGGTTGTTATCTCTGCCTGGGTCTTTGGACAGTGTCCTCAAAAAGACTGTCAACATATAGCGAGAGGCATCAAAAAGTCAGGAGAAGTTTTTCAAATCTACCTACACCGTGGCGTTGCCGAGACTGTTCCCACTGAGCCGTACCGGCAAGCACCCCCAAGTACCTACTTACCTTGAGGTAAGTACCTCAAGAAGTCCCCTCCATGACAGACTCCTGTCTCATTCAGTGCTCAGTGCGGCTCCAGGCGCTAATGATTCAGTGCCCTCGATACGTTCTGTGAGCCTTCAACGGCCGGGGCGCTCGGGGTGGGGCGTTGACCTCGGCCCCTCACGGTTCTGTAAGCTTGTGCGGGGTCCACGCGGGGTAGCTCCTCCGGGGGTCATCGGCTGTGCGTTAGGGTGAGGAGGAGAAGATTGGAACACGAAACAATTCCCATTCAAAGCCTGAGTGACGCCCTGAGACAGTGCCACAGAAGCCAATGAGATGTCGCAGGAGTGTCCTTGCCATCTGCCCAGCACTGCACTTACCGTTTGTCAGCCTTCAGAGTACACTTTGCTCCCCCTGCATTATTGTAGAGTTAGCTCTTCTACTACCTATCTTACGCAGTCTACCTACTGGCTCATTTTATTGTGGAAAGTGGATTAGAGTTCACTGTTAGAGATGTAAAGAGTAGAAGTTATCGTTGCAATGCGTACCTGGCTGTAGGCTCTGCAGCTATGTTTGCAGTACTTGTGGCCTCACCTACAGGTCACAACCTTAGCCCGGATAGTCCTGTCCAACCATGATTGCACTACGATCAACAGGATCCAAAGCTGCACTATCATTATGATTGATCTAAAGATTGTCCTCCGCTGAACTGAGACAAAGATATGTGTGAACTTTGGTCGCTGCACCTTCATGATTGCTTCAAGGCATGGGCGTACAGATGGTGGCCAGTGGAGCATACCTAGCGACTCTGCCTCTACTGATGATTCACCGGCCAGATTGCTATTTATATGAAATTATAGGCTTGTTCTCAGATAGGCTTCTGTAGACAAGCCACATACCTTGACGTTGACTTGGGTGTTGACCTCCGCTCGGACTCTCGGGTGGTGATGACGGTATTAGGCTCAAAGTCAGTTGGTAGGGCATAAAGCACTTCAACGGAACCAATCTCCTTCCTCTTACTCATAAGCTCAAGATTCAACTTCACTGAGAGGGCTTTGTTCAATATAAACGACCTTGGCACGCAGATAAGCGGACAATAAAAAGCCGGACAGCCCGCATCTTTCTGAGCCATCAACGCTATCAAACTTGCTCCATCCCTAACCCTCGGTCTGCTTCATCGTTCTTAATACCCTGCATTGCCACTGGATCCTTGGACACCTAGCGAGAGTAACTGTACCAAGTGAGTACAAATCAACGACGAATACGCGATTGGGACGAGCGTGACACTCGTCATCTGCTTGCCAGAAAAGCCAGTATGCTGGAGACAACTGAGAAGCATGCCCTGGTGTTCGGTTTGTAGCTCTCTGTCCTAGATTGGGTCGTTATTTCTAATGAGACGCGATAGGTTCAAGTGGAATTACGGGGTGGGCCATCACCAATATGATTCTCCAGGGCTATCCTGGAAAGGATATCTTTGATTCTGTGACGGCCCTCACCAATCGCCCGATCAGCCACGAAACAACTCAGTGGCCTACGTCTGAGAAGCTTCGCATTATCAGCGGTGTGGATATCTTAACGCCTGAAGGACAGGAGGCCCTCGAAATAGACCTCCAGAACAAAGTGGAGAGTATCAAGAAGATTACACACGTCTATTTCTGTGGTAAGCGACACCAACGACAGCTTGTACGCCAGGCCGTGTGCTGACATTACCAATCAGCCTATATCATGAACCTCGACCCAGCAAAGGAATGCCAGATCAACACTGAGCTCGTCAAAAAGGCTGTTACTGCTATTGATAGCCTGTCCTCAAGCCTGAAGTTCATCCTTCTGCCAACAGGCACCAAGGCTTATGGCATCCATCTCATCGACCACTTTCCATTCGCAAAGGAACTCCCTCTGCGTGAATCACTACCGCGAATTCCTGAGCCATTCGGCTCGCAACTATTCTACTACCACCAGATTGATGCACTGTCACGGCTTGCCAAGGGGAAGAACTGGTCCTGGTGCGAAGTCAGAGCTGATACGATCGTGGGCTTCGTGCCAAACAACAACATCTGTTGCGCGGCACAGACGCTGGGCATTTACATGTCCCTCTTCGCAGAAATCGAAGGGAAAGGGGCCGAATGCCCTTTCCCTGGCAACGAGAAGTCTTGGAGGAATCTCAGCCACGAAAGCAACCAAGATATCCTCGCAAAGATTTGCGTGTACGCGTCCTTGCATCCCAACGTCACACACGGGCAGAAGTACAATGCCGGTGACAAGTTTCAACCTTCTTCATGGAGCCATAGATGGCCCATCATCTGTGGGTACTTTGATTTGAAGGGAACTCCACCTCTGCCAGATCACCAAGCCCCTCAACCCGAGCACTACCTGGTAAAACATGCTGAGAAGTGGAAAGAGATGGAGAAGAAGCATGGCCTTGTCGGTGGTCACATCGCCAACGAACGCACCTTCATTGAGCCAACCCACGGCGTAGGAATGATATACGGCCTGACGAACTTGCTTAATTTCGACAGGCAGCTTGACATGACCCAATGCCATGAGATGTGGAGTTCCAGCAAGGAGGAACTTGATGCGAAAGATTCATGGTATGCTGTGTTCGATAGGTTTAGAAAGGCTAGAATCATTCCATAGCTGTGTCAGCAATGGCAGTGTCGGCTCACACCGTCTTCCTTGTAAACTTGTTGATGAACGGATCCGGTCGGAGCTTAGCTCCGGTCTTTTTGTGGAGGCTTTCCCGGAGAAGTTCCCGAAACCAGGCCCACCTGTCCGGTCAGGTACGTCCCGTAGCCGAAAACAGGATGACACATGCATCCCAGCCACAGTGGCCGTGCGTTACAGTGGCCACCTTACGATGGACGCAGCTGAAATGCAACTTCCGCAATTCAAACATTCCACGCATTCTTTCAATCCGACGCTGCTTGAGGTGAACCGTGTAGAGCACCTTGTTGCTTGCAGAATTTCTTCTTCGATATTTTGGTTTCTTGGTGAATTTCTTTTTGAAGTGAACCGTTCACTTCACTTCCTTTCTTTTACAGTCCTTGCTCAACAACGCATACGATTTAAACCCGCCCCGCTTGTTCCCGCAAGGTCCCCCCCCCCCCCCCCCCCCCGTCAGCTGAGGGTCTCCACGATACGGAAGATAAGACCATCACCCCATCAAGGCCGGGCCTGAAGGCATAGTCGTGAGAGACGACGAGTATGCTACTTTTCCCCGATGGCGACGTCAACGGTGACGACGCCAAACGCGACAAGCTCGCCGCCTTGCCCGAAGAGCTGCTCATCGAGACGCTGAACCGCCTCTGCCACAGGGACCTCTGCAATGTGTCGCGCCTGAACAAGCGCTACCATAGGTTGGCCGACGCCGTCTTGTACAAGAGCGTTCACTTCCAGAGTCCGGAGCTTCATCTCACGTTCAGCGAATCGCTAGGCCGGCGGCCGCGTCGTGGTTCGGCTATCAATGAGGTGAAATTGATTTATCCTAATGAGGAGCTTTCGCGCCTGGCTCTCGACGCACCCGTCCACAACTCTCACTATGACCCCACGCGGTCCGACACTCTTTCGCGCACACTTTCCGTAATGTCAAATTTGGAGAAACTCGACATTGCTGTTCCTCACGTCCTCTTACATGGCATCGGCACCCTTTTCAATGGACCGTTCGACTTGGCGTACCTCAAGGAGTGCACACTGTTCTACCAATGCACCGATGATGCCTACTGGGACCTGCGAGAAAACATCCACATCTTTGCCCACCCCACGCTGGAGACTCTCATCATCAAACGAGCCAAACTCGACGAGAAAGGATTCGACTTCATGGAGCGCCCCCACGAGACGGGCCTGAAGAAGTTGCACCTGATCGAATGCGACATTAACGATGACGGACTTTCAGACCTCCTCGAATTCCCAGAGGGCTTGGAAGAGTTTGTCATGACGCAGACGGCAGAGCCGAAGCCCGAGCTGGAGGAGAGCTCGGACAACTTTGCCGACTACGTTCTCGCTCTCAACTCCCAGGCACACTCACTCAAGACGTTCACCATTGACTCGCCAACGCTCGGCTGTCGCAAACCATTGAGAATGAGAGAATTCGAGGCGCTCAAGAGTATGAGGATGAACTGGGACTACCAGCTCTTCGGCAAGACGTCCAAGAAGCCGCGCATGCACTCGGTCGGTCTCCCGCCAGAGATGGAGGTCCTGGAGTTCTTCAACGAGATGGGCTCTGATGAGGAGGTGATGGACCTCCTCCTCTACACGATTCAGACCAAGGATGTTGTCGCCAAAGCCTGGAAGACCTTTGTGGTGCCCGAGAGCGATGGCGGCGTTTCGCGCGAGATCAAAGAAGCGTGTAGAGAGCACGGCTTGCAGCTGGATATCATTGGAGCATTCGACACGGACGGCGACGCTGACTAGAAAAAGAAGACTAGAAACAAAAGACCAAAGAGAGGAGGCATGAAGACTTAGAGTACGAGAAGTCAAAGTAAAGACTGAGGAACAGCAAATTATACGTAGAAAAGTATAAACGAAGAGTAGACGAAGATTAGATGACAATAGACGAATACCAAGACCTCATCCATTGTATTCCGCGCTCCGGTTCAGGCAGACTCTTTTCAAGCTGAATAGTGATCCGCTGGGGTTTCGCGTCAGTGTTTCAATGCCATCCGCGCCAGGTGAGCCGGGCCGGATATGGTCACGGTGAACGCTGGCTCCACTAGTCGCGGTCAGAGTTCGGGCCCGCCCCGCCCCGCCGCCGTCCCCGGACTTTCGGAACCTAGTACCGACCAGGCCTCACTCCAGATTTGACATTAGCTGGGTGGTGCTAGCCTGGTAGAAAACGACAGAGCTTTCTTCAGTTACTACCTATCCAGATGGACAATAGATAGCCGCACTCCATGACCCAATGAACATAATGCACCAAACCGGAGTGTCCTCCGGAACACGTATGTATACCTAAGTACGTCAGAGAGCGTCAAATAGCATCACGCAATCGGGGTCTTTCCGACCAGCTGCATGAAGGACGATGAAAATCACTCGAAGGTAGAGATTCCACCGGCATGCCGAATGCGGGGGTAGCAGGGAGAAGGGGATACCGGACAAGCGACGTCCGGGAAGAAGCAGACCAGTCAGAAGCTGGACGGCTATGCACGATGGTCTGTACGTAGTAGGCTTCTACGTCAGAGACAACTGACGTAGTTGCGTGAGAGCATTCCAAGCGGTTCGGATGCAACGTCTTGTCAACTCGACTGTTGAGCTGGCCTTACATGTGACGCGGCACACAGTCTTGAACACTCGACTTGCGGCTAGGCAACGTTGTGCTCTGTAGCATGTAGTTGAGCCGGGATTTTCTGGAAACTGCATCGATGCTTTTCCTGTTAGTGTCCGCTCGTTCATACTGGGGCATCTCAGAAGCACTAGGAAGTTTGAACTGGAAACAAAGTAAGTCATGTGGGTGAACACTTCAGAGGTGGAGCGGAACACGGCAGTCGGTGCTGTTTGGCGCAAGCAATACCATTCGCTGGTGGGTAATTAAGTGGCGGTCTGCCTGGGAGCGTATTCGGGCTCTCGTCCGGACGCTTCATGTGAACTGAAGAATCAGAATGGCCTCATACAAGATGCCAACCTCCAACAGAAACCAAAAGATATCGCAAAAGCCAGGCCTCTGTATTACTTGATTTTACCAGTAGCCGTGATATTCCACCGCTATTTAACCATTCACTATCTAGGCCAGCCGGCTTTTACTTTCAGGCTTGGCAGTTGCCTTCGCCGCCGTCGCCGCCTTCTGCTGCCGAATCGCCGTGCTACTAATCTTGGACGCGAAATTCTCCGTCTCGCTCGCCCCCTCGCCCTGCTCACTGGCATCCAAAACCTCCACTTCAAACGTCTCCAGCGGCTTCCACCCTTGCGCCGTCCGCTTATCGTTGACGGATTTTCCTCCCGACCGCGTCTCCCCCGAATACACGAGCACATCCATCTCCTCCTGCGTCACCGTGGGGCCGAAGCCGTCCTGGATCTCGACACACTCGACGATGATGGCGCCGTCGCGAAAGGTGGCCTCGACGCGGCCCGGTTTCCTTGTAACCGTCCCGGCCGGGCTCGTCTTCTTCTTCCACCCGCTCTTGTTTAGCTCGAGAAGGGATGTTAGGAAGTCGAGAGTGTAATCGGCTCTGTCATCCCAGGACTGTACGAGCTCTGCGTGTTTCTTGTTTACCAAGAGCTGGTCTCCGGTGATACCGACGATCAAGCGGCAACTTGACGTTGCGTCTTTGACCGGTACCCGGAGTAAAAGTGCTGCAGCCGTCAAGAGCAACTTGTGGCCTGGGTGTAAATGATCGAATGTGCCCCCTAGACACACGATGTTGTACCCCGGGGTGTCTTCCACGGGATCTTCGCTCGATCCCTCAACATTCATGCTCAGACCTGCCTCAACAACTACCAGTTGCGACTGCAGAATCGTTTGCCTACTCTCAGCAAACTTGAGATATGTTGACAATGTGCGGTAGCCTTGTTCGCTGTTGATATGGAAGATGTAGTTCCAGGGGTGATATGCCAAGGCAAAGGTCGGTAGATCCACGACCGTCGTGTTATTGGGCTCGATGGCGGCCACAAAATCCGGCAAAAACTTCCGGTTGGCATCGTGGTCCACCAAGACGACGCGCGCATCAACGGAGCCAGGTCCGCCGTGGACATCGCTGGCAATGGCCTGCTCGGCGCATATCAAGGCAATGAGACTGTAGAGACCGGCGATGAGAGACTGGGCGGCTGGCCATGATAGCGATTTGGTTTTTGGCGATGCGCCGCGGAGAAGAGGGCCCACGACGGCTACAATGAGAACGGAAGACCGATTTGGGTTCTTGATTTTGGAGAGGACTGCCTGTAGCGACGGACGGTATGCGGCGCTGAGCGAGGCCCGTGATGGTGGCCGGGTGGGGAGGGGGAGGAGCAATAGGCTCGGATATTCTTGGGAGCCCATGCTGGGTTTGTGTTTGCACGTGACAGGTTGTAAAGAGACTTTGAACAATGAATACAAATAGACTGTAGACAGAAGTAGCAAGTGACGGCGATGTGTGCCCCAGAGCAATTCAGTTGAGTTGATGATTCCAGTGCTGTGAGCTGTTGTTTCCCTCGGCCAGGTGGGGTGATTCGGCAGGGGAGCTCTCGCAACGTCCAAGTGCTGCCCGGCCGAGGTGAGGGGACGAGTCAGAGTGTGGGGCTCGCGCTAGCGATGCTGATTCATCCTTGCCGCTGCGGAGATAACGCGGGGCTGCGTCACTGTCATGTGATTGGATCGGCCCTGTCTCCACTCTCGAGGTACGTATCATGCCAGTCCTGCCTCTCGTCCTCCTCAACCAACCTCTTTTCATCATGTCCAACTTACAACAACATATTGGTCAACTTTCCTTCACGTTCTGCTGTTGCCGCCATTCAGAGACTCAAGCAGTTTCATCTGAAGATGACAATGTTCTTCGCTGTACTCTGTCTGCACTAACGTAATGGCGTCCATCCAGGACTCGTCAATATGCCGTCAGCCGCTGGAGAGAAGAGCCAGCCCAGTCTGCTGTCGCTTCGTCCGCCGCGGAAAACTGTCGGCAAATCCGCGTCGTCTAATTCGACATCGGATCTTGACATTCAATGTCACTGCGCCGTCCATCTGCGGCTTCCGGTGGACCTCACAACCTTCCCCGCATCCGACGTGCAACCATCTTGTCAATGGGGCGTCCAGACCTTTTCCATTCTCCCCTCGGACAACATCCTGCCGACATGGATTCTTGTCGTTTGTCGTCGTCGTCGTCTCATCCGCAGTATACCTACCCCCTCTCTTCGCGGTCTCCATATGGCCGACCCAGTCACTCCAGCCTCTCGTGGTCCACTATCCCCAGACCATTGACTGTGGGTTCGTCGGATATCCAGCATCAAGCTGCCTCCGTCTGGGGTAGTGGAGTGCCCTGGTTCCATTGGGCTGCTGCTTTAGTCCAACTATTTCTCCTAGTCTATCGGGCAAGAGTGAGGTTCACCGACGCGACAAGTGTCGCATTCGCACCATGCCAGGGAAGTGAACTGGACCATCCCGGACTCCAGTCCCGAGCTCGGAGCTTTCACGTATTCCCCCAACGCAGCCAAGCTCTGGGTTCGGATCCGCAATGGCTCGCTGCGAGTGTGAGATTGGGGAAACAAGCTGTCTCGAACCGTCTCCTCGCCATGCACCTCCACCTGCACCTGCACCATCCATTCCATCCCACCACATCTGAGCTTGCCCGGGATCCACTGCCCTTCCGCTGTCTCTACCAAGCCGGAATTCCTCTCCTGGCCAACAAACCTGAACGAAACCTGAAAGAGGGGTGGCCTGCGTGACACTTCAAGGGCCCCGTTGTTTGTCGTCACGGTGGGGTCCAGCATTGAGTCTCGACACTCTTGGGCTTGTTCGTCCTCCATCTTCGGCATTCTCGCCGTTGGACAGTCATTCTTCTCAGAATTTGCACTCGTTTCCCGGTATTCTTCCTCAAACTCGTCTGGATCGCCCCTCGTGTAGTTCCATCATCGTGATACCTTACACGCTCCTCCGTATAATTCCCTTGTTACCCGGACAGCTGTGGCTCTTTAGAAAACGTAGGGTACGAGATCATGACCATCATCAAGGATGAAGCCGGGCAAGGCTCAAACGATGATGCCGGAATCATTGCACAAGAAAACACTGCTCCCCGCATACCTTCAACTCACCAAGCCAAGAACCAACAGGTAAGGCACAGAGCGTCTGTCGCATGTGCGTCTTGCCGAGACAAAAGAATTCGTTGTGTGGTTCCAAAGGGCGAGTCGGAGTGTGTCCAGTGCAAAAAGGCCGGTAATGAGTGTGTTATCAAGAATGACGATGAGCGGCGGAGGTATGTATACATAGGTGCCGGGCATGCCAACTTGGCTTCTATTTTGTCTAAAATGCTGACAAAATTACCAGACCGATATCAAAGGCGTACATGTCGTCACTATCCGATCGCATCGCGATGCTCGAAGGCATGCTGCAGGAAAAGGGCGTTCAACCACCTCCAGCCGTGCATCCCCCCAAAACGAGACACGAGACCCAGCAGTTGTCAGAAGAGCCAAGAGACCAAAGACGGTTTCCAGTCAAAGGACCAATTGTACCCGAGGTCCCCTCGCCCCCGGACTCTGGAAACGATGACTACTCAGTGCAAGGCAGCGACCACGCCGAGAACGCGTCCACCACGAGCCCCTGCTTCCATGTTCCCGCAGAGGAACAATCTGCGTTCCGCATGCTGGACCCGACGCACGAGAACGTTGTTCACAGACTTCTTTCGACGAGAGGGAATCTTTCATTTGACCAGTTGTCTGGACGGCTCCGCTTCTTCGGCCCGACGGCCAATTCTCACGTTTACTACGCCGATACCAGTGATAGCTTCCGGTCTCGCGAGCCATCAGAGCAGATTCGGCGTGCCGAGCGCATAATTCGGACACTTACAGCAACGACTCACGACTATCTCATGAACAACTTTTGGACGCACTATAATAGTGTTCTCAAAATCATCCACAGAGAATCTTTCGAATCTGATCGAGAGTCACAAAGCCCAAAGTTCTATTCGTCGTTCCTGCATATCGCAATTTTGGCCATGGGATTCCGATTCGCCGATTGCAGCCGTGACGGTATGAAGAGGATGGCCTTGGGAAACCGGGAGAGCACCTTGCACAGAGAGGCCAAGTACATGCTCGACGTCGAACTCGAGAGGCCTGGTGGGATACCCAGCGTACAGGCTCTCCTTCTCCTCGGCGACCTGGAATGCGGCGTTGGCAGAGATAACACTGGCTGGATGTATGCTGGTAAGTTGATCGCGCGACTCTTTGAATAACGTCAAGTAACTCTTCTTTACCAGGGATGGCAAACCGGCTAGCTTTCGACATTGGTCTTCACCTAGACTGCCGCAATAGTGGCTTTGACGATCGAGAGGTCGATATCCGCCATATGGTGATGAGAGCCTGCGTGATACACGACAAGTATTGGTCCTTATTCCTGGGTCGGCCCACGAGCATCAAAAGCCAAGACGTCGGCATGGACCTGCTATCACGGCGCTTTTCCCAGCTTACATCGCTCATGGGAACACCCGAGCCCACTAACAAGGAGAATCAGACAGTGGAGATCTATGACCAGCTTGTCGAGTTGATGGAGCTTGCTGGTCGTATTGTTGAAGCCAGAGACAGTCGGCAAGCACCAAAGAGTGCTCACGAGAGAGACAGAGCGGATGGCGAGGAAGACGCATACCTTCAAAGCACCAATCTTGATCGCCAATTGCAGAACTGGTACAGGCGGTTGCCGGAACATTTGCAGTGGAAGCCTGCCAATATTAAGCATGCACCATTCAGCTACTTCCTGCTGCACCAGCAATACCACGTCTCAATGATATTGCTTCACCGACCGTGGGCGAATTATGACGAAGTTGCTGGCGATACCAGTAGCACTGATGCGAACCTTACACCCAACTCAAGTGCCGACTCCAAAGACACGCCCGACCAGCATCATTTCAACTCTCTGGGGACGAATATTTCCCATTCAACTTCAGACACAGGCCGAGTTGCGTCATCGCGCAGCATCTGTAGTTTCCACGCGATTCGGGTAGCGAGAATCTTTTGGCAACACCGACAACGGTTCGACGGCACCAAGATCTTCATCACTGGCATTCAGCACGCCGGTACTGCAGCCATTGCTCTGATAGCAGCATTGGCGTATCATCGCTGCGAGTCTGATAGGCGAACGTACCTCGGATACCTAGAGATTCTTGCCAGTGCCATCAGCGACATGAGCCAAGCCTACCAGCCAGCGGCACGCATGGACAACCTGCTGAAGGCGGTTCTTGGGAAACTCCGGACTGACACCGACAGTCTCGACGGCGTTAGTCAGCCGCCTGTCATATTGACGGGCAGTGAAAAGAGTCTCCTTTCAAGCCCGGGCTGGAGAGGCACCACAGACAGCATTTACTCCGTTCTACCAGCCAGACGTGAGGCTGAAGTAAGAGAGAATCCGCCGACCAAAAGACGCCGACCGTCGACGAGTAGCCGAAGGGCGTCCGAGTTCGCTCGCCCGCCCTTGCCCTTCTTCGGCGCAAAGACGCAGCCATCGACGCGCAGGTCATCACAGAGCAACGTGTACGCGGACACCGGTTCGCCCTTGGAGCCTGCGGCATTTCACTCGGGCAGAAACGATCATCAGCTATTCAACCTAGACTTTCTGAACGGTTCAGCGATAGACAATGATAGAGAAGACGACGCTTCGGATGCCAAGAGCAAAGGTGTGGAGGATTGCATCTTTGTTTCGCCACTATCCAACAGCTGGGTACAAGACCATACACCTGACCGTAACGCGTCGCCGTCACAAAAGACGAATCTGCGGTATGGCGATTTGGACTTGCACGATTGGGAGTCGGGAGCGTCCGGGATCGGCCTTGAGTCACCATCGAGCTTCCAGCTCAGTGGAGGAGGGGAAAGTAGCTGGGAGAACCAGCAAAAGGTTCCCAAAGAGGAACCTGGACAGAGCAATTTCAAGAACGAGACAAAGGACACGACAACGAATCAAGGAGGTTTCGGGCCGTTCGGCCATGAAGCCATGGACTGGATGGGTACCGATGGCGGTCTGGACACCATGACCTCTGTGAGTCTAATTGAGCTGGTGCAGAGCTCCATCGCGGGCAAGGCGGAGAGACGTCCCGCGGACGAAGCGCCTAGAAACCACGAACTGGACTTTCTGAGCTTCTGAATTGATGTTTGCGCATGGAAAAAATGACTCGCTTCTTTTTCCCTTTTCTCAACCCCCGTTCCCATTTCATTTTTCCATCACCTCATCTTCGGCGTTGGTGGTCCATTGGAGTTTATGGATTTGGTGCCTTTCTTCACTTGTATTGCCAATCGTACTTTCGTCTGGGGGTCACCTTTCATAGCGTCGTAATTAGGGATGTGCCAGCCTTGAGCATAATTCAATAGATCGCCTCTTATGTAAACGACCATGTATCTCAATACCACCAACGCAAGTAACACGAACCGCCCAAGTTCTCCCACAGCGTCAAGATCACCACCAATCTCACGGCTTCCAACTCAACAAACAGACTAATGAGCCGTAAACCCTCCATCAGCAACCAACCCAGACCCCTGCATAAAACTACTCATATCAGAAGCAAGGAACGTGATACCTGCATCAGCATCCCGTCAGTAAACCAACCAAAGATGGGCGCACAAATCAAGAGTGCCAGAAACAACAAATAATAAGTAGACTCACAACTAGCAATCTCCTCAGGCTGCCCCAACCGCTGCAGCGGCGTCATCTCAATATATCGACTCAACGGGCTCCCCGCCTCGCGCGAAAACGGCGTCACGGTGGGCGTCTCGATCCAGCCGGGGCAGATGGCGTTGATGCGGATGCCGCGCCGGCCGTAGTTGTTTGCGTCGCTCTTTGTTAGGCCCATAACTCCTGTCATTGTTTTTAGTATGAGATATGTGTTGTTTCGTGTGCCATTTTTTCCATGTTTGTCTCTGGAAGAAGAAGAAGAAGGTAGAGGAGGAGGAGGAGGAGGAGGAGGAAGGAAGTTAACGACGTACCGTGCTTCGCAGTCGAATACGCCGTCTGCGCCATGAAAAGCGAAGGCGAGACGAGTCCAAAGATGGAAGCCACGTTAATAATAGCCCCACGACCGCGTCTCATCCCAAGGTCCCTAATCACAAAATCACGTCAACATCAAGCAAACCTCTCAAGCCAAGAAAGCCCCAAGAAGCCATGCAGAAAGAAGACATACTCCTGCCCCAACATAACCCGAATTTCCTCCTTCTGACACCTCCAAACCCCATGCAAATCAACATCCACAACCCTCCCAAACTCCTCCTCGCCAACCTCATGCGTCAACTCCCCCCCACCCGCGATCCCCGCGTTATTTACAGCTACATCGAGACGTCCGAAGCGCGATACCGTCTCCGCGATGCCGGCTTTTACTTCAGAGGCGGAGCGGACGTTCAATGGGAGGGTGAGGACCTCGGTGGAGGGGAACTGTTCGCCGAGGAGAGATTTCGTGGTCTCGAGGGCTTGGGCGTTGATGTCGGTTAGAGCGAGGCGGGTGATGCCGTTTCGGGCAAAGGCGAGGGCTGTTTTTTGGCCGATGCCTATTATTTTTTAGGGGGATGTTAATGAGGAAAGGCTTTGTTTGTTACGGAAAGGGTGTAGAGGGGATGTGTGGGATTGTGGTGTGTGTGTAAGTCGGTAAGGATTAGGGAGTCGTCAAACGCACCAGAAGCTGCGCCGGTGATGAAAGCCGCGCCCCGGAGAAGAGACGCCATGATGGGATTCTGCCCGTTTCACTTTTCTTCAACACAAATCTGATAACGGCGTCGAAGGATTGATTATATGAGGGTTTCTGAACACTAAGTTCTAGGTGCCGATACTGTGTGTGCGGATTACTGAGCAGTCCGGAGTGTGGCAGGAGACACCATCTTTTGTGTGAAAACATATCTCAGGGCTTGTAACGCACTTACAAAGTACATGTAGACCGAACGAGACAAAAAGATAAGATGGACCGGTGAGACATGATTGCTTTACTCTGCATACATCCCATCTCATCAAGGAACACCCGCAGCTCCTTTTTCCTCGGCGGTGACATCGTGTCAAAAGTGAGGCGCGAAGATCGCGGAGAAGCATACCCAGCGTAGCTTCCCGCGCGGGTCTATCCACCACACACACACACACACACACACACACACACACACACACACACACGGGATGGACCGCTCCCCCCGCGGGCCGCAGGATAAAGCAATACCCGTATATTGGCAAAGGCTCGAACTTCGTCTGTCGGACGCCGCTGTCGAACCAACCACCTCCTATGTGCATCACGTTCAAGTCCCTCTCTCAAATTGAGGAGGTGCCACAGGGAAATCAAGACAGTGAGGGGTTGAGTGGGACGGAATCTCCTTTGTTCAAGGACAATGTAACGGTAGCCATCTGACGGCCGCTCGCATTTCCAGATACGTCCCATGTTTTGATAAAGGATGATATGCTTCGTGATATCCTCAAATGCTAAATGCCGAAATCATGGTTTCGACTGGAAGTACCTTCGTGATACGCCCGCCACTGGCAAACTTCCCCTTAACCCGAGCTGCCTGAAAGAGGGACTTCACCCAGTCCTCCTTACGCACCCGCAATTCCGAGTAGTACCTGAGAGAAACAATGCTTGTGTCATGAAATCACCCCTCGTAGTACCCATACACCAGCTTTTTAAAGTCAACACTCGTCGACTTTGGTAAAAAAATATTAATGGAAAAATGTTGGGCGTCGGATTACAGGAATTGGCATGTTCGATAAGGAGCAACTCCAAGTGCAGGGATTGAAACCACCTGCCAGAGAAAAGATGTAGGCACCCCATCCATCCACTACGACTCTGTGAAGTCAACGCAATCAAAGATGCCAAGTCCCATGCCCCGTCGTGCACAGAGAATTATACCGCCCTCCAACCCAGAGAACAACAAGGTGGAGTATTGCGAGAACAACGCTTCCTCGTAAGCCCCAAGTCCAAGGCAGTCCGTTGGATAGACGTCTCCCGGTCTCTCGCTCATACGGCGTTATCGGCCGCGTGCCGGCGCCAGCGAGACCAAGATCAAGAGCAGCTAAAATCACCAATGGCGCCCCGATATTTGGGCTGACTACGTACGGCCAGCAAGGACGCGTCAGGCTGAGCATTTTGCTCAGAAAGAGGCCGAGACGCACAACCGCCAGTAGAGGTCCGGCATTATAGCGCATAACCTGCCCTGCTCGCAACCGGCTGACCATGAGTCTGTGCCGCAAGGCTTCCAAAGGTGTAGCGGGGGGTGGCATCAGGAGCGGGGGCGAGCTCAGAGGTTCGTCTTTCAGGGAATCCACACTTTCGTCTCGCTCCGGTGTTGTGCGGATAAAGCTATCCTGGCTGCGTTGAGCCACCATTACCTGCGCTTGCGGTCGTAGTCTCGGAGAAGTGGAGTCCGACTGTCTCCGTAGACCTGCCGGCATGTCTGAGCTGGGAGAGCCGCTGTCTGCTGCCCTGCTAGGGATGTTGTACCCTTCCTGGGACGAGGAGAACCTCGACTGCTTCTGGGGATCTGCGACCAAGTCAGTTTGATAGATAGCGTCATCTCTAAAGGGTTATGAGCCACGAACCTGGCACGGGGGTGCTTGGCGGCATTGGGGAGTCTAGGCTCTGTATCCGGCGTCCGTTGATGCCCATGGACGGACTCGAACTCCTACCTCGAGGGACGCCTTCCATGGTCGACTCCGTTTTCATAGCGGATAGAACTTCACTCGCGCTGGGACGCTGCAACGGATCTAGAGCGAGAAGCTTCTTGAGAAGGTGGTACAGCTTTGACGGAAGATCAGGCCGTTCCCTGCGTTCATCTTGGAAGCCCTGCCAGTCTGTAATCTCCGCGCGCAACTCGTCAATATCTTCGAGCTCTTCGTTGACGGTGTTGGCACTTCGGTACGGCAGGCGACCGAAGCACATGAAGTAGAGAATCATGCCGAGAGAGAAAATGTCGGACTTTGTGGTGAAATTGCCGTAGCGCCCGGTCGTCAAGTCTCTCCTCAATACCTCTGGCGCGCAGTAAGAGATGGTTCCGGTTGATCCAGTCGACTTTCGCACCATGTTCTCTGATTGAACCTCGCCAAAGTCGCTGATCAGGCAGATTGTTCCACTGCCCTCTCGATGAAGGAGACAATTACTGGGTTTCAGGTCCCTGTGAATGTAATTGGCAGCATGAAGATATGCCAGTCCCGACGTGATGTCTTTGAAGAGGGAGTAAATCTCCTCAAAGGACAGCAATCTCTGAGAGGCGAACTGGTCGCGGGGCAGCTCAAGCTGGCCCTTGGATTTCCGCCGCATCTGGGCTTTGAGCTGTTCCTTGGTCGTTTCCTTGGGTTGGTCCCCGATGATGTAGTTGAGCAGGTCGCCGCCATTACAGTATTGCTGCAGAATGAAAGCGCATGCCACGCTGGGGCCGAAGCGTGTCAGCTTGACGTCCTCGAGCCAGACATGGCGGTAAGAGACCAAGTTCGGGTGCGAGAGCTTGGCGAGCAGCTCGACTTCGATGAGAACTAATTAGTTCGGCGTCAGCGTCGAGGTCTGAATAAAAGTAGCGCAAGGACTTCGTACCTTTTTCCAACCATGCGTGATCATCGCCTACGGGCACGCGCTTACACGCAAAATGACCTATCCACCATCAGTATCTCTGCCAGGTAATCCATCGCTCGAGATTCATACCAAGCTGACAGCCATCGATTTCGTGGCGGACAAGCAGCACAACGCCCTTGCCGCCACGCCCAAGCTCCTTTTCCTCGACGAAGAATGTTTTGAAATAATTAGGACTAAAAGCCTCGCGGCGGATGCGGCTGCCCTCCTGGACCGAGGGTGTACTCGAAATGAACTCGGCGTCCTCGGCTTCCTCTATTACGGCAGCTTGCGGGCGGGGTAAGCTTGGTTGCACAATGCGACGAATGGGGCTGGGCGGGGGATGGTGGTCGGCGCGAGAGTCGTGGCCGCCGGCTCGGAGCATGCGAAAGTAATTCGGGTCGACAAAGGAGTCATGATGGCGAGCGCTGTCGAATTGACGTTCGGGAGAGGATGATCGCAAGGGCTGGCGGCATGTCGGGCATTCGGACAGACCACGGATCTCGAGTCTTTGGGACGACGGGTCACGGACTACTATAGCGTTGCGGTGTCGGCTAGAGAAAAGCACCGTCAGCAAGGTCCATTATCTGACCAAGAGAAAGCAGGACGGAGGTGAACCGACAGGACGATTTCGCGACCTTCGTGCGGGTGGTATGGGATCAGCGACATGGCCGGTCGATCTCGGTGTGCTACTCTGGGGCCGCTGGACCGACAGAAAGGCCTAGATCATGGCCCAAAAGAGGGCAGCTGGGATGTTTGTTTGTTTGTTTGTTCGCTAGACGCTGAGGCTACTTCAGTCGGGTGTCTGGGTGAGATGAGGAAGCGGCATGGGTTCGGCGAAGCTTCGAGAAGCTGTAATGGCAAGGCGAAGCTCCTGGGTGAGTCAAGACAAGGCCTAGCTCAAGGTGGTGTCAAGGTGTCCAGGTGAGAAGTCTTAGGTGAGGTGAGGTGAGGTGGGAAGGGTTGTTTTGTTGACATTGAATGACCTCACACTTGTCTGTGGAGCCACCCAAATACCCCCACGTGCCCCGCCCCGGAGCGTTCGAACCGCTCTGTGGGGCGCCGATGACTGCCGGGCCAGAGGAACCCACACTGTGCCACTGCCACGGCGCATCAAAGTAAACAATCACCACTTCACCAACACATCAGGTAAGAAACTCATCATTTTACTTGTGATTGCCAACAGAGAATCAAATTCCTGTTTGTAACACGGAACTATTGAACTGTCCAAACATGTGATGATGAATAGTCTCAGTCAGGTGTCATATGAACCAGGTCTGCAAGACGGTAGTGTCTCTGGATGGAATTGCCCTCAGCTATTTCAGCTTGTCAGAATTGGCAAGCAAACACACAATTTCTGCAATGACAATAGACCTAGGCACGTATCCGAGATCTTGCTATGCGAGGTACGATGTTTATCTGCAACCTCTATTCGAAACATGCCAAGTTGTCACGAGAAGTGTTTGTATCCTTCCCGAAGACAATACGACCCTCTGTCAGAGTTGTACCTACCTCACACATCACCCGAATAGTCCAAGGCATCGTTTCTAATCTGTACGGATGCTATAATCCTCTTCCTAAAAGTTCGAGACTCGTGTGTCATAGCCCGTCGTTGCATCAGGGACTCGGCAGACAGTTGACTAGTCTCTAGTGAACTTGTCCCCTGGCCAGACAACGAAGATCCTCTCCAACTCCATCAACACCAACCCCGGCACCGAGTGATTTGACCAGGGCCGCTTCCTGTCGCAGTCACACTTGTCAGGCCAGCTCGGGCCCGTCACCAGGGGTTTGAAACCAAAAAAAAAGAGCCTGCCTATAGATATGGAAACACCGCGGCATATTCGTAAACGGGGCGGCCCCCTTTCACCGCGACTCAAAACATCCCAACCCACCCCCGGCTCAACCCTGTCGTCATCCAACCTCCGTATCCAAACGGAGTATCCGCAGACTGCGGTGTCTTCACCGCACCCGCTCAAATCCCCGACGACGAAGAAAGAAAGAAAGAAAGAAAGAGAAAGAAAAAAAACAAGGCGTTAATGTGTCAACGCAAGGTCTTCATCCACCACCGGTGTGGCCACAAGATCACCGAGCTCATTGAGCAGTGCGAGACCTTTGAGTGTCCCGGCATCACCCAGAAACCCGTCATCAGTAACCGGTATACCTGCATCGTGCGGACTTGTATGTGGTACGGCCAGTTTTGACTGAGTCCGGGCGTGAGAGGGATAGAGACAGAGAGTTGAGTTGATGGGTGGGCGCAGAGTTTGACTCCTGTGTAAGTGGCCGCTCGACTGTGGTTGACATTTTCAATGACGGTCCTGACACCGCAGAGGCTGCTGCTTCGGCCTCATATCACCTCATAAATCTGCCCAGCTGTCCACGCCCGTTATTTGTGTATGGGTTGAACTACGGTCTCAAGGCGCTTCTGAAAGGCCCAACGTGACTGAGGCTTTCACTTCACGGCCTAGACGCGACCGGGTACCTCTTGAACAGCGGAATGATGGAACTATCAGAGTAGCAGATACAGAAGCCTTTCATCATTTGCTGTACTCCGTACTCCGTACTCCTGCGTTAATTAGATTCTGCCCTGTTCTCCCGGGCTATACACAGGAAGCGACAAGGTCGTGCAAGCATACCCATTAGTCTCATTCGTACTACGTTGTTTGCTCATTCAGCCCGCAGCCTCACACAGTTAGACAGAAAAGCATCAAACAGCGCTCATCAACCCAGCATCAACATATACTTTAATTTCAGCTACCTTAACCCCTACCTAAACGTCCAATCCGAGTCCCGTCTGTGCCTTGCATTAGCGAAGTGCATCTCTAGTAACGTCTTTCGACACTAAAAGCGATCCATCGCGCAAGTTTGTTTGATGGTCTAGTTCAAATAAGGCAGCTCAACGTCGGTTAGAACCTTCCTGCCTTGTCGCTCCAAACGCTCTTTGAAAACACAACGAGAGGCATCATTTCTTCACGATTTTTTTTAGCAATGTCTGTAGTTTTAACCAATTAAATTCTGGAAAAGAGAGAGAGAGCCCTCTCTTTCCGATGGGTATCATATGTATGTCCAGTTCTACCTAGCTCCTTGTGGTATTCAACCCCCCTTTCCCAGCTTTTAGACCACTTGAACACTCCTTTGCGCCTAAAAAGACACACAGTACAAAATGCTGGACGGAAATCAAAAAGGTATCAAAAACGCCACCAATCAAGTGAGTAGGACGACCAACGTGCCCGCACGCCAAGGGCAAAAAAGGCAGGCCGCCGACGAGGAAGACGCACCCGTCGGTCCGCCAACGCGGGAAAAGCCGTCTAGTAGATATCCCGATCATGCAAGATCTGCCACTTGCGATGATAAAGGTTAATATGCGCCCTCAACGCATCCGCCGACTCGTAATTATTCGTCGTCCCCGTCGGCACGCAGAGACAGCACGCAAAGACGTTCCTGTCCGAATGCGACTTGGCCAGGAACCGGCTCGACATGCGGAAGCCGTCCTTGAGGACAATATAGTCCTTGTTGCCGGGTAGTAGCGGGTTCCACCGGTACCCACACTTGCATCGCTTCGGCGCGTCGGGGATCGGCTTGGAGAGGTCGACCTGGAGCCTCATGGCCTCTGGGCAGAACATGCTGAAGACGCTGACTTTGGGGCGGAGGAAGGCGGAGGCGGTGGTGCTTGTTGTGCCTGCCTCTGAGGGCGCGAAGATGGAGACGGCGTCGCTGGCGATGGCTTTTGGTGTTGGTGGTGTTGGGGGAGGGGAGGGCGGTTCTGATTGGAAGGGTGCTTGGTCGGTGCTAATGGTCATGGTTGTTGACATGTCGTCGTCTTCTTCTTCTTCTTCTTCTTCCTCCTCCTCGTCTTCGTTGTCGTCTTCATCTTCAAAGACGCTGCAGTGGTTGTCGACTGGCGAGCTAGCTGAGCTTCGTGAGATGGACCTCGTCTGCCGCGAGCGGGGCTTGGGGATGGGAAGGTGCTCGGGGATGTCTGGGCGTCCGGCAGCAAGACGATGATACAAGGCACCGAGGGCCTGAACTGAGGCGATCCTGACAGACTCGGATGTCTGTATAATATCTGAGATGTTGAGGAGGCCGGTCAGGCTTGAGTCGCAAGCGACCCGGCGTAGGTGGGACACCCGACTACTGAGGTTGAACAGCTGGTTGGAAAGCATATCCCGGCATGGTGCTGTCGATGTTGTTAGCGTGGCTGCAGACAAATGAAAAACGGGTTGCGACGTCGAGGGCCGGACGGGGTGGAAACTCACCATCGCCGGTGGAGAAGTCGGTCCCAATGAGAACAGTCGCAATGTCATATGTCTCCTCGATCTGATTCCTCGCAAGCTCCAAAGAGATGCTCAAAGCACATGTAATAACATCCCTTCGAACACCCGATTCTGAGGATTTTCGACAGTAGTGGTTCCCAAGTATGCGTTTCCTCTTCCAGTGGGTGTAATGCTCTGTGCCCTCGGCGTATAACTCTTTGAGAGATGACACAGCCTCATCGACTGTGGTTGCCTCCATTGTTGACCAGTCACTTTGATGGCATGATGGAATGGTGCCGAGAATAGGGTACGAAGTAGGTAATTACGTGAAGGGACTAACTTGGTACTGAAGGGAGTGAGAATGACGAGGGAGAGAGAGGATCGTCTGGGAGGGAAGGGATTAAGAACGGGAGCCAGCGGAAACCGGATCGGGAAAAGCAATGTTGGCGGGCGGCCGGGAATCAGCTGAAAGACCAGGGCGAGCTGAAGCCTGAAGGAAGGGAGGAGAGTTATGAGACCGTGGGAAAGGACAAACAGAAGGCTTATCGGCCGACGGGGGGGAACACGACTCAGAACAAGCTTCAAGCGAGACAACAGATCGAGGGGGTGGGTTACCAACAGGTTGGGGCCAAACGGGCGCGCGTGTGTCCCTTGATGAAGTGGGGGGGGGGGGGGGTTTTCTGGTTTTCTTTGATGCTATGACTCTTGAAGTGTTCGTATGGATACATCATACGGATACAGCGTGTGGATGGGAGGGTGCTCGGGCTTCTTGGATCGACAGGAAGCCAGGGAGGAGATGGGGGGGGGAGATCGGGCGTGGAGCTACGGACACTAGAGCAGAGGCGATGGGCGGGCAAAGCTTTTGAGCCAATGTGGCGTTGGCGGGCGTTGGGTTGGTGGACGCCAGGACGCCAATCTCACGACTCGAGGTGCAAGTCGTCCGAACGGGCGCACGGGAACTCGAGGGGGCGGGTAGCCGACATGACATGAGGCATGGGACGGCGTTGGCGTAGGTAGACAAGGGGGGGGGGGGGGGGGGGGCAATGGGTATGGTCCATGGGCAAGGGACATGCAATGCCTGTCAAGTCCAGTTTGGCCAGAGAGTCATGTGCGACGATCTCTGGATGTGATTGAGATTCTCGTCTCATCCCGCCGTCGGCCGGCGGATGGTGTGCATGTTGACGATGCTGCAAGCTGAGGTTTTCTTGGGGTCCTTCTGGGGGATGTTGTCCTTTTTTGGGGGTCGCAAATGAACGGAGAAAGAGTCGAGAAGGGTGAGAGTGTTTGCTTTTGCTCGGGAGGGACCGGTAGAATTTTCCAAGTTGGCAGTTCGCTTAAGGAGTAAAACATACGGTCAAGTGAGTAAGAATAGGTAAAAATAAGAGGAGATACCCCCGGACAACTTCTTGCTGTGCCAGAAGAAAGATGGCCAGGATGAATGCAGGGCAAAGGCAGGCTGGGGCATGGGAGCATGGGAGCATGGGACCAGGCCAAACGAAAGTCGCTTCTATTCGTTGGGATAATATGCCACAGTATTGAAGGCGAGTCGAGGCGAGTCGGAGGATCCCACGCGTGCGGTTCCAATTGGCACTCCGTTGCTGTTGGAACTTGGTGTTGCAGGGCCTGGTTGCTTCTGTTGCTGTGCCTGCCGGTTTCTTCAAATAAACCACCCAATCCTTGATTCCGTGATGTGACAAGGTGACAAGACAGAGAGACAGGACAGGACAGGACAGGAAAGGACAGGCTTCCTTGCCGTTGGGAGTTTCGTCCGAATGACGACGACATGACAGGGGTGCCGTCCCGCAAAGAGTCGAAGACTACCTACACTATGGAGTAGGTAATTATTAGTTCGTACGGATACTGGGCAAGAGTTCAGACGTGTCATTCGCGTCAAAGAAAGATGGACTCAGATGGCACCGATGGCACCCTGGGGATCAAATGCGGCCGCGCCGTCTGTGCTCAAGCTTGGGGTGGACACGCCGCACTATCCATCCTGACACCCATCATCTATCAAACGGTCAGCAACCTTGCACCTTGTCCGGTTCGCAGAAACTCGACGGGCAATCGACGGCCAGTCCGGTTCAGTCCGATTCAGTTCTGTCAGTCCCTGTCACTGTTCTGAATGGCAATATAGAGACACGAGAAAAGATTGAGAGGAAATTAGTGTGCTGACTGGGCGGGCGCTACACTTGCCTAGTACCTTGGTACCTTCCACAATAATTACTAGGCGAGGTACTTGGAACGGCCTAGCACCTCGGTGGAGTCGATCCGTCCCCCATCGGCCCATCCGGCGAGCCGGCCCCGAACTGTGGGTCCCCGCCCCTCGGTCTCCCGGTATGGCGATTGGCCCACCACCGCAAGCCATCGCTAAAAGGTACTTTGGCTCAGGTACCGCAGCTCCACCCATTGACCAAAGGGTCCTTAGCCTCTAGGTACCTTACCTACTGCGTACTGCGTAGAGTTAGACTCTTGAGGCTTCCATTGACTCCTCCGCCGCGATCCTTCATCCTCTCAGCTTTCAGCCTATTCAAGCCATCAGGGAATCCCGAGACAGGCGCACTCTCCACGCCACATGCTAGCCCTTCAACATCCTTATCGTCCCCGTCCGGATCGGAACGCCAAGCATCGTGGCACTCTTCTCCTAAAGACACGTAAAGACTGCTAGCTTACGGTTCGCAGCTTCCGCCGCCACGACCACCGCCGCCGCACATTCATTCACTTAAGGGTAGTGCCTCTTACGTGCCGGGGCAAGCCACTTCCACCTACCTACATCCGGCCTACGCAGTATCAGCTCAGCTCCGCGCTTTCACATGGCCAAGGCCAAAGGCAAACAACGTGGCCTGACCAACATGCTTGGAGCTCCGGAATAGTAACTCATCGCACAATGCCACCTCGCCCTCGTCAAACCCGCCAGAGCTGCGACCGGTGCCACGCCCACAAACTGCGTTGTCCAAAACAGCCTGGCAACGCCATCTGCACCCATTGCTCCAAAGCCGGAGCCGCATGCGTTTACAGCCCAGCCCCGTGGGCACGCTACCCACCTACCAGGACCTGGCTGCAGGGCCGGGCGATGATGCCCTGCCCCTTTCAAACGGTGCGACGGACCTGGACTGGGCCAACTTCTCTTTCGATGACATCCTGGGCTTCTCCTCTGTTCAGCCTTGCCGTGTCCCGTCACCTCGCCATGATGAGGCACCGCAGCCTCAGGTTCCGGCTGACCCTCGGTCTCAATGCTTTGAGGAGCTGTCTGCCATCACGGCCACTCTAGATAGAGCCACGAGGGGTCTTCCTCCCATTGACAATTTCCACGTCGCTGGCCCCGATTCCAAAAAAGTACTGCCTCGAGATATCTAAGCAATACAGCCACAAGGAGTCCCTCGAGCTACTGCTCGCCGAGACCCAAAAGCTGGTCGATGTATATCCCAGAGCCGTACAATATGCTCTGGAACCGACTCTGCTGTCATTACCGATGTGCCAATGTCATGGAGCTCGTCCTCTGCCACGTCCAGCTGTGTCTCAGGTTCCTCGCCGCGGCTATGCAGCAAGATGTCCAGCCTCACGAGTTTGACGTACCAGAGCTCAAAAATTGGCTCATTCGTCCCGTCACGGCGGTCATCGCCCTCCATCATCATGGCGATTTTAATCAATCTCCAGTCTTCCCTGGCCACTTGCGTCCCGCGACTCGGCTCTGCACTGAACGAGATGGAAGGGGACTGTGGCAAGGAAGGCCGCATACTTCTGCTTCAATGCGAACTACTAGCGGAGAGAGCAAATTCCATCGTAGACCGTCTCAAAACGCTGAGAGATACTCTCAGCAATGCGGGGCTTCTCGCCTAGAGTCTATGGCAGCCAAGCGGACATTGTATTGTGCCAACGACGTAGATGACTCACATTGGCCGGGCTTTTTTTATTCTTTTTATTGAAACCAAAACATTAACAACAATCATGTTGTTATGACGTTTGAGCTATTGGTTCAAGAGAAAAGCACGCGCGCTTCCCGGCTCGTCTTCCGTACGTGCGTCGGCAGTTCTGGCGATGGCATGGATATCCCTCCATGAAAGGCTTCGCAACCCCTCCTCCTTAAACTCATCAACACCCCCAAACACGCATCGCAGGTGACCTTGAGTTGAATCGAACCATGGGAAAAGATCATTGTTATAAATGCCGAGATGCATGTTCATATAGAAGATGTTCTTCACTGGTTGATTGACTTTAACCGCCGGCTGTTTTGTTGATGGCAGCTCAGCTTCCCTATAATGTTGCGTTGGAAGACTCTGGTTAAAAACCACGACAGTCGTAGCAGATGACCTCTACCTGAATGCTCAACAGCTTCATTGTTTCGGTCATTCCCTCACGTATAAGACTTCATTCCCAGGGAGTCATTCATCGTACTTTGAAGAAGGAAAAGTTACCACTAACACTTCCGACAATCCTCTCACCTACAACGAGGGCGTGTGATCATCTAAGCCATATCTCAGAGCCGACAATCAACCCCAACTTTCACGATGAAGATTCATGCAGCTGCTCTGATACTGGCGTCTGTTGTATCGGCTCATTGTGCGTAGAATACAACCTAGCCCTATGTCAATCCTGTAAACGGAACTAACAACCACACACAGACGTCTTCCCCTCCGTCACTTACAATGGCAAAACCACAAACGACTGGGAGGTCGTCCGCAAAACAACAAACTTCCAATCGAACGGACCCGTCACAGACGTGACTAGCTCACAGATGACATGCTACCAACTCGCGCCCGGCAACGAGGGGGCCACGGTTCTAGACGTCACAGCCGGTTCGACCATTGGTTCGTCCAATCTCGTCTTGTCATATTTATAATGATAGATCTTCTGGACTAACACCAGATGAACCAGGATACAACGCCAAAGCGTCCATCTCCCACCCCGGACCCATCAACTTCTACATGGCCAAGGCGCCCTCCGGAACAAGCATCACAAACTGGGACGGCTCCGGCAAGAACTGGTTCAAAATCTACAGCGACGGGCCCACAGTCACCTCCAGCGGCCTAACCTGGCCAACAAACGGTTCGGTTTCCCTTCCCACAACTCTTTATGAAGACAGGCGCTCTAACGTAAATGCTACTCTCTATCAAGGCAAGGCAACCGTCAACGTCCAGATCCCAAAGTGCATCGAAAACGGCGACTACTTCCTCCGCGTCGAGCACATCGCCCTCCACAGCGCCAGCAGCGTCGGCGGCGCCCAGCTGTACATCTCCTGCACCCAGCTCCGCGTCACGGGCGGCACGGGCACGTACAAGCCGAATCTCATGTCGTTCCCCGGCGCGTACAGTCCCAATGATCCCGGCTTGGTTGTGAATATCTACTACCCTGTGCCTACCAACTACAAAGCTCCTGGGGGTGATGCTTTGACTTGCTGAGGATTGTCTGAAGGAAGTTGGAAAGGGGGCGAGGATTAAGTAGTCTGAGATTCTTCTGCGTTCAAATTGACAGGTGCTGGAAAGCATTTCCCATTCTGATGGCTCTCTAGTCTATCTTGATTGTTTCCACGATTGCAATTCACATCACATTCCCAGATGCGTTACATGTAGCTTCAACGCACACTTACACAGCGCAGTTCGCCCCGCTCCATCTCATCACCCGTCCTCTGTTACATGTGACGAAAACAGGCTCGAGCTTACATATAAAAAGATGGCCATATAGGCCTCTTCCCTCAGCGCTCGTTCCTCTTGCCCATACATCATGAACCCCCAAAAACCAAAGAGCGATAATCGCAGTCACAGTCACAGTCACAGTCACAGTCACACCTACAACAGGGTTTAACAGCCGACAACCAGTAAGATCGCTTGCGGCCCGCAGTAGAAGCTCACCCAGAAGGTAGCAGTCGAAACAGAGCTGCCACGAATGCCATTCTGGCGGTTAAGTAGTTGAAAGCCACCTAGCTGCAAACCCGTTACAGCCTTCCCTTTTCGGCAGATGCCCGTCCCCCAAAACGGCGATGTAACCCCCACAAGGGATCACACGGAGAGGGGGGGGGGATGAGCATCATTGACGATATAGACAGGCGTGACAGGTCAGATGCGGGGAAAGGCTTACAAGTTGACAACTACGAACTCTGTAGAGCGACTGTGAAGTCGGTATCGCTTACTCGCTCTGTTGTTCATGAGTTGGAACGTGGCGGTTGATGACTTTCAAGAAGCTACTTAGACTCCTGACTCAAGCAGCACATTTAATGCGGAGATAACGGGGCAACTCGCAATCACCAAGTGGATAGGGCTCTCTTGGGGAGCCCGGATTTGGCAGAGTCTAGATAGAGTTTTGGGCTTTCTTAAATACCACGGGCAGAGAACTTTGGGGCAAACGAGAATTGATCAGATCTCGTCAGTTTTCGTCCGATGGGTCCAACTTTGTAAAACAAACGAAAAAACCATGTTCTTCTCAGCTTCTAAATTGGCTTGCCTCTTGGCAGCGGCTCATGAAGCTGCGGCCGTCACTTACAGCGTGCCCGCCAAGGTGAACACGGGCGGTCTCTCGTACGCTCCTCTCGAGGCGGCCCCCGTCGGTCTGTCGTGAGTTTCACCGGGGATTTCTCCTCTCGAGGGCCTCAACCCCCCCCCCCCCCCAGTATGGGTGTCTGTCTCTGACTCTTGTTGCAACAGCTTCGAGTTCTTCGCCTTCCCGTCGTACTTCAAAAACGTAACGGCAACGAACCAATGCCTCGCCAACCTCAAGGACCTAACGGGCACCTGGCCCCCGATCCGCATCGGCGGCACGACCCAGGATAGGGCCTCTTATGATGCGGCGACGTCGGCGTACGTGATCTACTCGGTCGCCAACGCCGCCGACGCGCCCTCTTCGCTGACGTTTGGGCCCAACTTTATGAAGCTGGCGGCGACGTACGCCGGCGACGTCACGCTCGGTCTGAACAGGGGGAAGAACAACATTGACAATACCATTGCGGCTGCCAAGGTTGCTGTGCAGGAGATGGGGAACCTCTACGCCATTGAGGTCGGGAACGAGCCCGAGTGTAAGTGGAAATTGCCAAGCTTTTCTTTATTGCGAAGCCAGGAACTGACGGTTGGTTTTCAGATTGGTCGGGAGTACAGCCCATTGCCGCGGGAGGATGGAGTCCCGCGCTGGATGCTGCGTCACAGAACCACTGGGACATCACTGTCGGCAATGCCATAGGCAAGAAGAACATTATCCAAGCCGGCAATTCCAACTCTCTTCCTCCCACTTGGGGGGCTGAGGAGTTGATCGCAAGTGGAAACGCCACAGTCAGAGAGTATGGGAAGACGTACGCACATCACAACTACCCTGGAGGGTCTGTCACAGGTTTGATGTCCCACTCAAGTATCTCAAGCAACGTTCACTTGTAAGTTGGTCGCGTGTTCCCCTTCGTAGGCCTCTCCACTAACAGGGCCAGGTTCGACAAAGACATTGCCAGTGCGCTTGCTGTTAACAAGCCTTATATCTTTGGAGAGACAAACTCTGGTAAGTCCATAGACACTCCCACACTTGTGGTCTCCTCCAGTACTTGAGCTAACGAAGAATGAATAACAGTCGCGGGAGGCGGCGCAGCCAACGTGTCCCCAACCTTCGGCGCAGCCCTCTGGGTAATGGACTATGCCGTCCGCCTAGCAATGTCCAAAGTCAGCAGAATCTACTTCCACCACGGCACCCTCGGCAACAACCCCTACGCCTTCTTCGGCCGCTCTTCCATGGGCAACCCATACGTCGGCGCCTACGCCGCAACGGCCTTCATGGCCGGCGGCAAGCACCTCGCCGCCCTCGACGACGGGAAATCCGCCCTGGCCGCCTACGTCACCTACGACGCCGCCGGCGCGCCGCTGAGGGCCTTGCTGTACAACTCCAACTACTACAGCGGCACGGGGACGCGGGGTGCCGAGTCGTTTGTGCTCAGTGGGCTGACGGCGGCCCGGGTTCGGAGTAAGCGTGTCACTGCTGCGAGCGCCGAGGCGAGGCAGGATCGCGGAGGGAATGCGTCTTTTGGACAGCAGTTCTTCAACAACGGTACCTGCACGATTGGCGGGACGGAGACGTTTGAGACGACGACGGTCTCGGGTGGGCAGGCTACTTTCAGCGTAGGAGCCAGTGAGGCTCTTCTCGTCTACCTGCAATAAGTTTGAATATGGGTGTTGAGGTCAAGCAGATCCGGTGTTTCTTAACAACGAGAGCTGACATGTGGGTTTGGTTGATATGAAGCGTGGTATGGCGTTGAATGCATGTAGTTGTGAGAGTGGGAAGGGAGGAAGAAGAAAGCCGAGATACCTCACTAAATCGGAGTTCCCGATACATACCCCGTTAATTGAATTAGCCTGCGAGGTTTCTTTTATGCAAGCATAAATCGCGATGAAACTTTTCATCATGTCTCCAGGCCCTTTAGCTTGTAGAACAGCATCGAATAAGCAGAAAGGAAGGAAGTAGGAATTCCAAACAGCACTTTCTCAGGTGCTTCACGTGTTAATTTCGCAGTTACGACGGGGGAAAGCTGAGGTAAGTGATGCAAGAAGGCAAAGCGCCGTACTCTAGTCTCTCATCTCAACGTCATTGCTCTTTTTTTCAGCCTTAACTGAAGTACATCGCAGTCGAGTCCACCCCAACCCGGCTTGGCACTATCTGGGCGGCTCTTCTCATGTCAGTCTGTTAAGCCTTCTTCGCTGCATCTACTGCCTCATTGCTCTCGAGCAACGACCTCTCTCTGTACCTTCAAGCGGTTCATGACTACTGCTTCAATTTCATCACGACATCATCTTCTTTCATTATTCACCAGCCTCTCGTCCAGCTGGTATTGACCATCATCGCTCTCCATCAACTGACTCTCTAGTAGAGCTCACGCACCGTGGGGAGATCTACACCTACATCACACAGTAGACCTCACCATGGCCGATAAATACATCCTCCGCGTGACTGCGGGCCCAGGCTACGACCTGGACTCTCAGATAGAAGTCCCCGTCAACCAGGCCAAACCCACAAAGATCACCAGCGCCCTTGCCGACGTCGAGCTCAACGTCCGGATACAAAACTACGCCGGCCTCCCTCGCAACTCACCCTCCACCTCACCCTACTTCTCCGCGGAACCCCACGCCGCCAACAATGACCAGTACAGCATCTCTTTCCGTTTCACGCCCAAAAAGCCGTCAGGTGCCTCCTCCTCGGCAGACGGCATATCGGCCGAGGACCTGCAGTTCGGCAACGACTTTGACCACCCCATCCGTGACCGTCTCCCGCCGGGCTTCAACACGGCGCTCAACATTGTAAAGTGGTGGATCGATCCTGGTCTGGACGGCGACGCCTACGCCGACGTCCCTCATCTCTACGGACCCGCGCTGAGCTCATTCAACACCATCCACGTGGGCTCCGGCGTCCACGACGAAGAAAAGGGCGGGCTATGGTTCGAGGAAGGAGGCGACGAGGCCGGCCTCGAAGCACGAGAGAAGATTGGCGCGCCGGCCACGGCCAAGGAGCGCATGAAGTGGGCGCTTCGCAAGGACAGCAAGGAGAAATGGCTGTTTGAGTATGGCAAGACGTACGGCTTGGACTTTTTCAATGCCTACCTCGACTTTGCCAACTTGGCGTTGCGCTTACCTGGCTACCAACTCGCCATCATGAAGTACTGGGACGGACAAGGCCTTCGGTGAGTTTTTGCTCCTCCCTTTTCCTATCCATAAAACCTACTTTGCTTCTCTGCGAGTCGACTGTTCCGTAATATTCTTCACATCTCGCGCCATGGCCGTCACTTTCCGACTTGTGCTATTGACTTTGGGAGGGAAACGATGTCACAGCAACAACACGAACACCCTGAGGTGGCTTTTCAAAGCACGGTTCAAAAATGTCTTTTTTTTTTTTTCCTTTTTCATGTCATTCTTACCAGCAGCAGGGAGGGGGAGCCTAAGCGCTCACATACGCTTAGATATGTTCTTCGGAACAAGACCACCGGCGACGTCTACCTCGTCGTCCTCTTCGAGATCCACCTCAAGGACGACGTGAACGAAGACGGCACGCTCAAGGCCAGCGCCAGGGGCGTAAAGACTGGTGCTCTGCCGCCGGCTGCCAAGGACGACCACGAGTCTCACGATGAGGCCAAGGCGCTCGAGGAGGCTAGGAAGAAGATGGGCCCCGCTGCGCATGAGACGGAGGACACCAATGCCGACGATGTGGACTAGAGTGATGGGTCGAGTACACTTCCGCGAGAAGTATGAAGATTTTGCGATGAGAGTCGGCCGACTTTCTTCGTACCAGTTTACGTCGAAAAGCGAGGCAGCATGGCCGGTAGACACGAATGGATGACCGGTAGAGACCAAATTCGGGCTTAGATATACATTAATAAACAGCTCTTGCTCTGCATCACGTTACCTCAACATAGCACTGATCAAATCGGATGGAAGTTTACCAAGAGCCCAACAGTCGTTGTCAGCTCTACTCACTTGGTCTAGACAACCAGTTGTCGACAGAACTTGCGGGTGAATACAAACAGCATGCGAGAGCTGCAGCTAAATGCATGTCAGCAAATGATTAGGAAACTACACCAAAATATGGAGCTCTATACCACATCAGAGAACGTCTTTGCCCACCTTACGACGCCTCTTCCCATCGGAATGAGATACTACCTGCTGGTACGTCACACCGTCAAACCAACAGAAACAACCAGGCTCAATACCATTGTCCGATCAGCATCACGTAGAGGATCCAGGCCCAGACTTTGGTAAAGGCTTGGTATGAAGTCATACTTGGTTCGAGAATCGCTTCTGTCTGCCTCGGGCATGTGAAGCAAAGGTGGGAAAATATTCCTGAACCCCTGTCCGTCATGCCGTGGGTGTGACGAATGCCGCGCCGCACGCCGAGACTGAGAGGACCCCCCCCCCCCCCCCCATATGGGCGCCCCGGCCGAAAATTCCAACCCATGTCCGTACCCGTAGACGGTGTCAGCGGGTCGACCGTCAGAATTCCCCGCCGCCGAGGATTACGGGCCGCTTGGCTGCATCGCCGATCGTCATCCGACAATTCGCCCACGTCCTTTTGTCTCTCGATTCGGCAAATCTTTGTACTGTCACTTTTGTGTAGCCGTGGAGGCGTGGAGGCTTTTACGGGCAAAGAGCGCGCGGGTCGACGTGCTACCTGTGACACGGCTGATATTCTCCTTCTTTATCAGTTGCGAATCATAGCCGGTGGAAGCTCTGTTCGAGATATCCTGTAGCACCTAACACCGGTTGTTAGCAAGCCTTATCTTCCCAACTTTCGCTGTCAACACGACTTGCACTAGTTCAACCGGATTTGATGGAACTGGCCATAACGTCTCCGTCATATACCCCAAAGCCGTGCCACTTTGATTCAGTATGAACGGAAATCCCAGCTTACATCCAAATGAAAGAGACAAACCAGGGAAGCACGTAACCGCTCACCCGCTACATACATCCCTAGGGGAGGACCATGTTCAACTTCAGGACTCATAGACGACGGAGCTCGCCCCCACGGTCGACTCGCAACCTCTCCAGCCCTGCATGTAGCACCAATATCTCTTCCAGTCACACCAGACGACACATCGTTCCCCACTGAAATCCTCTTGGAAACACGCAGCCCGCCTCATGGCCGAGCCTCTATTCCCCATATTTCGGTCTTGGAACGCGCCCACTCCTCCATGACCAGTATGACAGGGCATTAGCTCGTTAGCTCCAGATGCGCCATCATGAGGTCCCAAGGCAAACTTCCCCCCTCTTTCTTGAATCCTCCAGAGGCCCACTGTGACGGCCTTGCTTGCAGATAATCTGACGTCTCCAGACTATTTAACCTACTCAACTATCAAATACGGCCCGCTTGAGGCCCATCTTTCTCCCCAGATTTCGCTTTCCCCCGTCCATGTCATTCACATAAGCCAACGAATCCAGATTACCTGTGCATACACAATTCGCACATAGGGATAGCAACGAGACCGTGGCAGGCCAAAAGAGAGAGAAATGCCTCCCCCAAAGGTCGACACGGAGGCCCCTCCAGTCCCCGAACCCACTCCCTCCTCCCAAACCTCCGGCAGCGACAACGGCGGGCCCCACGGACCCGCCGACATCAAGAACTCAGCGGGCACTCCCACCGGAGCAGGCCGCGCCTCAACCGCCGCCCTCCTCCGCAACCCCCTCGTCGGCCTAACACACGATGAGATCCTCAAAGACGCAGACACCTTCACCGAGACAAAGGGCCTACAGGAACACCGCGAGGTATTTCGAAAGGGCGCCCTCGTCGCGCAGGTGATTAACCGCCCCGACGGCTTCGAGTCCGTCGCCGCCCTCGACGAGGAGGAGAAGGCTGTTCTAAGGAAGGAGGTCACGCATCGTTGGCATCAGCCTATGGCGCTCTACTTTCTGTGTGCGCTTTGTGCGGGGTCGGCTATTGGTACGGGACACCATCTAACCCAGGAAGGTTGAAAGATGCTGATATTTTTGTTGCAGTTCAGGGTATGGATCAGACAGCCGTCAACGGCGCCCAGGTACCCATCCGCGTATCCAGCGAATGTGAAATTATGACGAGAGTCTAACGATTATGATAGGAATTCTACTACGAGACCTTTGGTCTCCAGGACGACCCGATAATGCAAGGACTAGTCAACGGCGCGCCGTACCTCTGCTCCGCCCTCGTCGGGTGCTGGAGCTCCCCCGTCTTGAACAAGTACACCGGCCGCCGCGGCACAATCTTCATCTCGTGCTTCGTGTCCGTCGTCACCGGCTTCTGGATGGCTGCCGCAGACAGGTAGGTAGAGCACACACACACATTTCACGCACTCCTTGCCCACAAACCCACCGCCTCCACGACTTTTCTCCTCGTTGGAATGGTTTCGCTGACACCCCTTTCTGTAGCTGGTACAACCTCCTCATCGCACGCTTCTTCCTCGGCTTCGCAGTCGGCGCGAAGAGCAGCACGACGCCGGTGTACTCTGCTGAGAGCACGCCCAAGACTATCCGCGGTGCTTTGACGATGATGTGGCAGGTGAGCAAGATCTTTGAATTTGAGCCTTCAACTTTTTGCGTACCATGTGTATACGAATGTTATCGAACTGACTTGTGTGATTTCCGTCCAGATGTGGACAGCCTTTGGTATCGCGCTGGGCTTCATCGTGTCCGTCGCCTTCGCCAACACAGATTTCCTCGGACCAAACACCCAATGGCGTTGGATGCTGGCCAGTACCTCCGTGCCGCCTCTCGTAGTTATGGTACAGGTAAGGGCTTCATCTGTTCTTCTGTCTCTCTCTCTCTGTCTCTCTCTCTCTCTCTCTCTCTCTCCCTACACGGAAGCTGATCCAGGCAAATAAAGGTGTACTTTTGTCCCGAGAGTCCGCGATGGTACATGGAAAAAGGCAAATACCAACAAGCCTTCCAATCGACCCTCCGTCTACGACACCACCCGGTCCAGGCGGCCCGTGACATGTACTACGCCCACAAGCTCCTAGAAATCGAGACGAGAGCCCGCAGCGGCCGCAACTGGAAAGACTTCTTCACCGTTCGAAGGAACAGGCGCGCCGCGCTATCTTCGTACTTCGTCATGTTTATGCAACAATTCTGTGGTGCGTAGCCATACCCCTTCTCCTTCATCAACCATTGAGTAATCATCTAACACACAATCCCCTTTGCCCAGGTATAAACGCAATGTAGGTATCCCATCTTCCACCCTCATCAAGAAGATACAACTGACCTCCAAAAAAAAAGGATGTACTATTCCACAAACATCTTCGAAACATCCGGCTTCGACCGCAGCACAGCCCTCCTAACCTCAATGGGAATGGGCCTCATCAACTGGCTCTTCGCCCTCCCAGCCTTCTACACAATCGACACCTTTGGCCGCCGCAACCTCCTCCTCGTAACCTTCCCCTTAATGTCCCTCTGCCTCTTCTTCACAGGCTTCTCCTTCTACATCCCCCAAGACACCACCGCCCGCCTCGCCTGCGTGGCGACAGGGATCTACCTCTTCGCGGCAGTCTACTCCCCCGGCGCCGGCCCCGTCCCGTTTACGTATAGCGCCGAGGCGTTCCCCTTGCACATCCGCGACATTGGCATGTCCTCCGCCACGGCCGTGACGTGGGGGTTTAATTTCATTATAAGCTTCACTTGGCCGCAGATGATTGCTTCCTTTGGCGTCACGGGCGCGTTTATGTGGTATGCCTGCTGGAACATCGTCGGGTTCGTGGTGGCGTATTTCTTCTTGCCCGAGACCAAGAACTTGACGCTCGAGGAGCTGGATAGCGTGTTTGATGTTAAGAGTCGTGATCATGCTGGGTATTATGCGAGTAAGATGCCGTGGTATGCGAAGAAGTATGTGCTGCGTAAGGATGTGGAGCCGTTTCCGGCGTTGTATGAGTTGGATGGGGATGATGAGGCTGGGTATCGTGAGGGAGGAGGAGGGCAGAAGGCGAGTGTGCGGCATGACGAGACGGGGGTTGTTACGGGGCAAGCTACTGAGAAGTAGGTTTGGTGGGAATTGGAGCTCGAAGTGGTTGAGCGGAGGTAAAGGGATATTTCGTGTGTGGAATGTACAAGCCTGAACTAGATGTGATATCCTGCGTTGGATATTGGGCTTGGGAAGGTGGACGCAAAGGATTTTGCAGTTACCAGTTGCGTCCTCATCGGTGGACTTTGATACATCCGCACCCGACGAGTGACCATGTCACATAACTTACAACCAAAGCAAGTCTCCACAAGGTCATGATTGAAGTTCAAGTGATATAACACTAGTAAAAAGCTGTTGCCAAGTGCGTCTTGAACAATGTTACCACTCTTTGTGGTTTCCGTACCCTCTACCATGTTCTGATGCTATTCTCATGATGCGTGAAACTCCGTGTTATGCGATTGAGCACCCCAATCCATCCGTCTGCCATCCGCAAGACCAAACAATGCTAAGCAAGACCCATCCAACATCCGGACATGCTTCATATGCTCCCTGAGTACCCAACTAATCCCAACTCATCCAATTGGATCTGAGTACATCGTCTTCTTCGGTCGATTCTTCGGCCGTTTCTTTCCCCTTTTCCATCTTCTTTTCCTCGTCCGAGGAGCTCACCCTCCCATCTACGAGTCAATCCCAAAGTCCTCCCAACGAGTCGCTCACGGGAACCAGTTCGCGACTGCTCACTTCAAGCACCTCCTTGTTGTTCTTGGGCGTCGTCTCCAGCTCATTCGCAGGCCCGTGCAGCCAGTTCCCCTCATACGGATCCGGGTCGGACATTGTGTCTTCTGTGTGCGACTCTACATCACCGTCAGAAGAGTGGAGGTCTGATGTCTCCATCTCATCCGTGTGCGACGTTGCCTCGCCCCTCGATGGAGGCGCCGTGAGCTCGAATTCTTTCGCTGGTGTCATGTCAAGGTTACTCGGTTTTCGAACGTGGGACAGAGAGGATTCCGACTTTCGTGAGCGGTGCAGAGGTGGTGTTACGGGCTTCCCAAAGTCGAACTCGGTGGCCTCGAGTTGCGCCGGGTTTATCGGGCTCGTCATCGGTCCTCTAACCAGCGAAACATTGTAGTGGCTCTTTGCCGCCCTCTTGAGACGTGGTTTGCGAACAATGACAGGCGAGGAGCTGCCGTGGCCATGCCTCGCCCGCATCTCTAAACGTTCCTCCTCCTCCGTCTCTTCGTCTGTAAGCACGTTCTCCATCAGGCGTCTATGGTGCGCCATGAGTTGCACGCTGCTACCGGAGCATCTACGCTGCCGGTTCTTCACGACTTCGGTGTCTAGCGTGAGAGCAGGAGCTACCGAGGACATCTGCTTTGGAAGAGCAATTGATTTAGGCCAAGGTGGCGGCAGAGCAATGCCAGTGGTGAGCCTTCTCAAGTCAACCTGACTGTCCGAGAACACGACACGGGCTCGCAAGCGATGGACCGCCCTGTCCAGCGCGAGCTCGATGGCACAACGATCGCGGATCCGGCTCAGTTTCGGCCAAGCAGCACGCTCGCCCATCAAACAGGCTCGCAGCATGAACTCGGGGCTCGGATTGCTGAGGATTTTCGGAATGTCATGCACATTGACTTCCGGGAGAATATTGATGTCGCCCGAATACTTCTGGCTGAGAATGCTCCTAAGCTTAGTAACGAGATTCGGAAAGACACCAATTTCAGCAAGGAAATGCAAACGGTGCAACGCCTCATCTTTGGCGAGAGCAGTCAGGGCGTAGACCCAATCAAGCTCTTGTTTGCTGGGTGACAGACTAGACCGACGTGCCGCGAAATCGTCGGGATCCAGCTGATCATCACGAGCCAGAAACGGGGTGACGTGAGGGTTCACTTGAGAGACGATGAAGTGATTTACGTTGAACATCTCTGCAAGCCTGGTCATGGGCAAATCGTTGTCCACCGACCCGTCAATCCATCTCTGTGGCGTGGGGTTCCAGGGCATGTGCTCGCCGGTATCGGGGTCCTTTACGAGCAGCGGAGCAGCGCTGAAGACTAGGGGTACGGAGCATGATGCAGCTACAGCAGACCAGATCATGACATTGGGTGCCGTGATGTAGTTTAGCAGACGCGGCAACTCGTACATGGACTCGGTTGAGACACAAATGTTTAGGACGCGCCGCGTTCGATTGTACGCCTCCTGAAAGGTAAGATCTCCGACCAAACCACGCATCACGCGGGTCAAGTGTTTTATATCGGACCAGCTTCCCTCTGTGAGTAGCCTCCGCATGTGGTCAAAGACGCCGTCGGGGTTCTCGGAGGCGTCAAAGACGGCCAGGTCGCCATACGGAAATTCCTTCACGAGCCGAGGAATTTCTTCATCGGTCCTCGTGCAGATGACAGCCGAAACGATGGAGCCTGCTGAGGCACCTGATATGATGCGCGGCAGCAATTTGACTTCGAAGAGTGCCTTCAGGACGCCAATATGGGACATACCCAGAGTCCCGCCTCCACTCAAGAGCAGCGCACTTCGACCAAAGCTCTGGCGGGCGTACAGGACGCTCTCAAGAATGTCTCTCTGTCCCATGCCTTCGGGCAACGCAAACTGGCTCTTTTCCACTAGGGCATCGATCGTCTGCATGGCCGAGTCGACATATCGTTCGATGAGGCTCTTGGTGCCTACGTAGGAGTGCCTGTACAGATCGACGTTCCCCATACCGCCGAGGTCTCTGCATAGAGCAGTTCGAACAAGGTGCATCATGGCACGAGTATCGCAGTTGGTTCGCGCATCGTCGAGTTCTTTTAGTCGCGCCTCGATCAGGGCTGGGTTGTAATCTCCCGAATATGGATCGAGTTTCCACAAGTCGTTTTCCTCGAGGATGTCGAGCTCTTCTGCAGCATCCTGCCATTGTTTCCTGCTTTCCGCCTGCGTGGGGAAGATCTGTTAGCGGATCTGTTGGACGCCGGTGCAACATGCGAGGCCAGAGGAAGGGTGGACGTACATTTTTCATGTGGATGGAGAGCACAAGCCTGCGCTCCTCCTTTTTCCTCCTGTTTTCCCGTTCCAACTCGGATAATCCATCACGGAGAGACAGGACAAGATTATTGGCGCCCTTGATGGCACGAGATATCGAGTCAAAGGCTGCATTCAAGGGCGTCGGTGGTGGTTGCTTCTTGATGGAAGAAGCGCGGCCGGGTTTGGTCGAGGTCGAGGGGCCAGAGGAGGAGGAGGATTTGACCCGGATCGCAGGCACTGTGTGGACAGAATTGAGAAAAACGTCGTTCATGATGGCGAGGGAGGATTTGGCTCGAAAGTAATGATCGTGGTTGGGAGGGCTAGTTGGAAAGTTGGGGTGAGAAGCTGGTAGACGAGAGGCAGCCCTGGTGCCGTCCGTGTCGCATCACAGCCTTGGAGCGTGGTTGTGCAACAGACTCCTCACATGTGCTTTTTTCCTGTTGTTGGGTTGTTGAGGGCGGTCAGAGCATGCGCGCGTCGGTGTTGTCGTCGCGACGGCGGCGTCCTTGGAGGGGTAGAGCAGAGTGATGTAGCGTAGGGTGGTGCGGAGAAAAGACAAGGTGGGAAGGTAGACGGCAGACTGGTCGAGCGTCTGCCGAGTCGTTTTTGTCGAGATGGAGTTTCTTAAGGACTGAAAAGTCAGACAAGCGTCGTCCGGGAGAAGTTCGTATAGGAAGCCAGTGACAGGGCTTTGGTTTCAGAGAGCACTAAGACAAAGAGTGTAAAAGTAGGCGTTGCGGTTGTCAGATGATTCCCATGACAGTGTTTTGGTGACTATGGTAATCTTTGGGTGACACAAAGCCCAGGCAGGCAGGGAAAGGCGTGCAGATCCCCGAATTGGAGCGCAGATGACCGGACAACCTGGGGGGGGGGGGGGGGGGGGGGGTGTTGGATGTCGTAAAGAGTCGTTTTTGTTCGGTGGGGGTAGAAGAGGCGTTGAAGGACGAGGGAGTTGAGAGTAACCCTCCTTGGCAGTAGGTGACGACAAGAAGGGTAAAGAGGAACAGGCGGGCGCAAGCGGGACGAGATGGTTGGTCAGATGGCGAGTGGTAGTTCAAACTTGGAGCCGAGTTTACCAAGGTGAAGCGACGGACTGGGCGTTATTCAATGTCGTTTCGAAGACTGGTCGAGGCAGTTGAGGATGAGAAAGAGAAAGATGAAAAGGAGAACAGAGCAGGACTGGAAGTAAGAGGAAGAGAGGATGGGTAGGTAGAGAGAGGATGGGGATAGTGGAATAGAAAGGAGAGTGTCGTGAAGAAAGAAGTGAGGTAAGGTGGAATTGGAAACTTGGCAAGGTGCAGTTGGAGTTTGGAGACGAGAAATGACCCAGTGACAACGTTCGGCCGTCAGTGGCCGGGAATGGAACGTGGAGAACCTGGCGGTGATGACAATCGCTGCAGACCCCACACAAGTACGGAGCACAGAGCACATTGGTGCAGTTAATTACTGCGTATTATTGCTGACTCCCGCCGTGTCGCCCTGAGGCAGAAGAGCAGGCGGGGGCGAGGGGAGACCCAAGGGGGGCATGCCGCATATCGCCCTCAGGGGTCCACGTGCCAACGTCTCCATGTCACAGCACCCAGAACAGAGACGTAATGGGCAATTCAGCAGCAATCGATTGGTCCATCCGGATCTACCACCTTTTATTCTGTACTCTCTATCTTCTATGGACCATCACATAGGTCATCACAGATGTTCTCACAGACGCGGTAACAAACGCAACAACATACGGACAACACAACACAACACAACACAACAGGCAGTGCCTAAACATACCCAAGGTAAGGTAAGTCTGTGTCTCGCTGGGATTCTCGGCTCAGGCGCAGGCCAGATGACCTCTGCTAGGCGGCCCCACCCCCACCACAACCGTCCCCCTCTTGGGGCCCTTCTCCAGACTCTTCCAGCTTAGTGGCCCACCCCGGATTTGGGGATCCTGGGGGTACGGAGTACATAGAAGGGGGGGGGGGGGGGGGGGCACGGAGGGGTAGAACACCAAGCACTGCATCGTCAACTCTCACCCAATCACGCCCTGCCGCGATACACCCTCGCTGGCCCCTCGTCTCCACACGCTTGCATCCTCACATGTCTCTCACTCTCACTCTCGTTTTCAAGTTGTCAGCTATTTCTTCAGTCTTCTCTTCAGTTTATCAATATCCCTCTTCAGTCACAAAAGACTCATACCTCATTCTTCAGCGTCACATCTCACCTCCGCAACCAAGACTCAGCTGACAATCTATCTATCTGCATTATCCTTTTAACTTCCCGTACCCTGCCATGGCCCGTGACATGATGTGACACTCTGCCCGTATCTCCAGCAAAAGCCGGACCGCCCACTGCTCCCCATTTCGAAAATAGAACGTTTGAACACCGGTCATGTTATCCGCACACGTACCAACCACCGCTCCCACAACACCAACAACCTCCGGGACAGGCCGCCCGGTGAACTTTCCGTTCCGTCTCATCTTCCCAACTCAGCTCCCGCCGCCGCCGCCGCCGCCGCTTGCCTCGCCTGTCACAAGAGATGGTTCCTGGCCGCCGCGTTGATTTGAGCACTTGAGCTCACTCTCTGGGCCTCCATCAGGTGAGCGAAAGGCATAATGAGTGTTCCTGGGCTTTCAAGGTTGATCAACGACACACACATGCCCACCCCGCAATATCCGCCTTTCATTACCCCTCTAATTGACACTGCTTCCTCACACGATTTGAATGCCCAGAAACGCTCGACTGCTCTCACTTATGCGCTCCGGAATCTATGTGTTTCTAATCCCCACAGCACTAAGAGAAAAAAGGGGAAACATCCAACTGCCGCCCACAACGCTTTCAACGGCGTCCCTGCTACGTAGATATGTTCTCACCCACAAGCCGTTTTTGTTTGCGCACGAGTATTACACAGATATCCAGAGTGTTCAAAAGTCAGAGGCGGCATTGCTCCAGCACCTTAGTATACGTGTAATCACTCTCCCAGATCGAAACCCCGATCTTACCCCGGAGCTTTTTACTGAGACGCTCACCCGACCTCATGATTCAGAACTCTGCTGCTTCCGTCTCCACCCTTGCGTCTCATGGTTGGTCTCTCTCCATTTTACAAAACGTAATCACTCTCCCAACTCTGATCGATCCCATGCGGCAACCAGATCCACGCCTAAAGCGGGTGTTCCTCGCCCAGTCCTGTCCGTTTGTCCTTACCCAGCCCTGCTCATTTGCTTGAACCCATTCACTGCTTGCGTTCCTGGCAGTCCGACATAGTTAGTATGCAAGCTGACGGTATAGCTGGCCATCCTGATGACATGTCTGATGCCCATAAAGATGATGGGCCCACATTAGCCTACTTTTCTAATTTTTTGAGCCTTCACAGTGCTTGGTTTTTTGATAAGAAACGTCTCGCTCATTTCTTATTGCTCAGGCATGCAGTGTTGCTCAATTCGTATACAGTAACGCTGGTCATATGGAAGAGCAACTCAATACTCCCCCGACATCACCAACCGTGCCGAGGTCATCGGCAAGGGCAGACTCATATGGGCAATGCGAGACGCGAGGGTACCATCAAACTCATTCATACCAAAGGTTAGTCCTTCGGCATTATCAGAAAGCCGGCAGATCATACACTCAGCTTCAACGTATATTTGATATGCCTTTTCATCATAGGAACAGATGGCACCGTCTGGTTACCATTCCGACAATACCAAATAGACCACTCTTAAGTATGAAGATTTACAAAGGAAAAGCCTTCCGACAATATCATCATCTCGAGCCTACCTCAACGGGATCCGGCCCAGCATAGCGGGGCACCTTGACGGGCAAAACCCCAACCTGCGTAATACTCATCGGAATACACCACAGCCACAAGCCCATATATACCCCCTCAACTCCGTCCGTCTCACCAGCCAGCAGGCGCCCGTCTAGGTCGATGGGTCAGGTCAAACTGGCTGGGTGGTGGAGTGGTCTATGGTCCAACAATCAGATTACACGCCAACCAGCCTACTCGACGACAGGCTTAGCGCATACTAGTATCACGAGTTCGAGTCCCGGAATGAGCACCATAAAATTTCCCAGCATGAGCACCGAGAGATGTAGCCCCCAGTTCGGCACCGGGGGGGTGGGGGGTTAGAGGGATGGAGGGGTGAACTCTTTTTGTGTTATCTAACTATATAGTTAGTAAAACATAACATATACGACGATGTAATCGCACCGGGTCAATAGGATGGCGAATACCAACTTGCGATTTCACGGTACTACGTGGTGGACGATTCTCTGCTTTTAGCTAGTATCGAAGGCATCGTGTGTTATATCACGATGCCTTCTCGTCTTTTGGCATAAAAAGATAGCGTCAGGCAGCGCGGCGTGATGTAGGGGGAAACGACATGGGCTTCCAATGGCCAATGATGCCGTCATCACGTCGTCTATTCATTCCATTTGACGCAGTGTAACTAATGTGCTGCCGTCTGTGTCTGTAGAATGTAACCACTTAACCAAATCCAGACGCCAATTGGGCGTCCCGACTCCAACTCTAGCTTCATTCGAGCTCTTCCCACGCCGTGCTCTGTCATCTGCATTGGTAGGCGGCTCATCGCCGCTGACATTCAACCCGTTTCTCATAGCTTCCTACGCGCAGTATTCTTACACATCCATTTCCCATTCATTCGTTGATTTAGGCGGCGGTTGAGCCCTTCGTGCCATCAAGAACCTTTCGAAGCATGTCCATAGATAAGTGCCTACGCCAGTTCACTGGCGGGTCTACCTTCGTCGGACCCTTGCAATAACTTCGCCGCGAAATCCGATACCTTATCTCGGAGGACTGAAGCCACGTTCCCTTCTGTCCAGAAGTGTCCAGCCGAAGACACCTCCTCGCCATGGAAATGCGATCCATCGACGCCTTCCAAACGCTCCACCCACCCTCGCAACTTGGCTACGGGAACAAAAATGTCCTTGTCGCCGTATAATGCTAGGGTATCATTCTCTACCAGCTTGCTCTCACTCTGTTGTCTTTGATCCGCCGTGAAGGTCGGCGCCCCCTGCTCTCTCGGTTTTCCCCCGTTCCGCGAGAATAATCCTCGACCGGGTGTTGTATGAAGGAATGACATGGCTGCTAGATGGTTGATGACTCCTTGCAGCGGAGACACGAGGAGATATGCCGGCCGGACTTGCGTCAAATTGGGAACCTCTTCCACCACAACAGAGACCTCATGGTTCGAAGGTATAGTGGCCAGCTTCTCCTGAGGCACTGCCACGCCCTTATGATGATGTCTTTTCGTTTTCGCCAGTAGATCGTTGACGCCTCGCCGAATCTTATCCTCGGCGTCAAGAGAGAACGATCTTCGCGTTTCGGACATGGATCTCCGAGCTTCGTGACTCTTGCGTTGGGTGTCCTCGTCTCCCCCAACCCGCATGCCAAGGTATTTCTTCCGCGGTGATATAGGGCTCGCAGCTCTAGCGCTAGCCAAGATGACGTTCTGCTGCTCCGCCAGATGTTGCGCTCGAAGACGGATGTCAGCAGCCGCGGAACCAGCTGCAGGCACCTTGAATTGCGCGAGGATATGCGCCATCGGTGGAATCTGCGTTGTCACCATAGCTCCGTATGAATAACCGCCGATGAGGAGCAGGGGATGGTATGGGGAAGGCTTCGATTGGGCGTCGGGGAGCCCTGGTGGGAGAGTCGTCGTCGGCGAGCGGGCGTTAGTCGATCCAAAGGGATCGAGGAAGTGCATGTAGTAGACCATGAAGCCGATGAAGGACATGTAGTCGCTGCGTTCTGGCTTTGCAGTCCATGACGTACGGCCTGCGGATCCAGAAGCGCCCCTGTTGATTGAATATCGTGTAAGTGACGGAACAATCTCGCCGTGACAACGCCCACAAGCCCGCCAATTCTTACCTGAAGTTGAAAGTCCCCACAAGGAAGCCTTGTCGCAGCAACGTCGCGGCAACGATATCGACAACAGGGTCGTCATAGGAGCCGCCCAAGGGCGCATAAGGATGAGCGATTACGGCAGCGTTTCGTCTCCATGGCGATGGATTTGATGCGGAGGGGTTCAACGCGTGGCAATGATACAAACGGCAGTCCAATGCGGTGTCATCGTGAAGGCTAGGGAGCGTGAAGCTCAAAGTCGGTTCGGGAAGCATTTTCTGCTCTTCATAGTGGAGACATTGCTCGGGCCGTCGATGATAATGGGGAGAGCGCGAGACGATACGTTAGGATGTCAGCTTCGTGGAGTGGAGGTGGTAGGTTTGCGAAAGCTGTGCCGAGAAAGGTCAATGGGTTCAGACCATCAAAGTCGAGTCGAGACGAGCCAGAACTTGTGATTGCGTCCCAGCGCCCGTTAATGCGCGGTGACAGCTGAGCCCTCAAGCCTTGTATTGTTTGTATCGGAAGGATAAACGCCGATGGGGGGGTAAAATTGTAAGGGAGAAAGGAGTGTGGCCGACGTCAGCGTGGTGCTGGGTATTGGATCTGGACAAGCCCCCTCGTCGGAGACAACAAGCAAGCTTCAAGGTGGCGTTGGAGCGCAGGGATTGCATTGCGCGCTAAGATCGGAACCGACGTGGTGTGACGGGTGCTCACCATGAGGTAATCTATCCGTACCTATCCGTACCTTAGGTAAGCCCAGGTATTAATGGTCTCACCGACACTCACCTTGGCTACCTTACTACCGACCGAATTACAGGATGGGATACTGTTCACCGAGATTGACCTCTGCCTCCATTTCAATCAACAAGGATGGGAACATGCTCTGAATTCGCCGATAGACATCTGGACATCTCAATCAAGCAAGTCTAGTGACAAAACTCAGCGTTCATCGCTAACCTGGTATGGGGATTGGACGTTTCTTTCCAAACTTCAGAGCTCATCACCCGAGACAAAATTACTGCCACCGCCCAAGATAGTTTTGAGAGTCAGGCACGAGTTTATGATATGCGGTAAGTTGGTAACTTTTTTTGCATAGGCCTCTATATGCTCATGGTGTCATGTCAACTCATCACATTCTAAAGCTTCTTTCTAGCTTCTGCCTCGGCTCTTTCCCGTCTCCGCTTTCTCCATGCCTTGATTTCATTCAACAGGCCCATCACAAGGGGCACTCCCACCGGCCCCAAAAGCGGCAGATAGACCGCGATTTTATGTTCATCGGGGAAGTATAGTTGTCCGACCATGCTCTTCTCGAAAAACGCTCGCTCTGCCTCGGCCTCAGCGATCCTAGCATGCTCCAACCCTTCCGGGCCACCCAGGCTGGCGCAAGCAAGCTCCAGATGATGCATGGTCTTGGCAACACCGTCCGCAACATTACGGGGAATGGATATGGATGGTAGCGCAAGTGACAGTCTGGCCAGTGATCCTAGGGTAGAGGATGCCCGCAGCAACAGATCTGCGGATCGAATGCGTGTGAGAGTCGAGAGCCGCAGGGGAAGAGAGCCTGATTGAGGAGTGCCCAGAAGTGACAACAAGTGCCCAGCAAAGGTGAGCATGGGCTGCTTGAGTGTAGCAGCCGGCACGTGTGACGTCGTCGGTGGCAGCGACAGAAGATAAACAGTTCCCCACTGCGGGATGAGCCAGGACTGTGATGTTTCGGACCCCGAATCCAGTCCAATTGTTTGGTTTCCGACGAAGAGTAGGAAGTTTACCGTCGGGGCACCGCCAATGGACGGCGAAAGGGGCCATTCGGCCGCGTTGATGAAGGAGGCAAGGTCGTCCTTGTTCAAAACCTGGGACTGTGCGCCTGGTGTTGCGTACAGCTGCACCTGGGTATCGATCGTGAAGTTGTGAATGGGGCTCAGCACATCAAGCATGGGCTTCATGTATGTTTGAATCGCTGCTTCGATATCCCAGGTATTGGGGGCAGAGCCACTGGTGAAGAGTGAGAAACTCAAGTGGTACGTCGGTGAATATCGCAAAGAACGGGTGGTCCGCTTCGCCAGTGATTCTGCTGCCTCTGGCGACATTCCCTGAGGTCTCGCATCCGAAGCTCCTGAGGCCGCCGAGAGAAGGTATGATATAATGGCTTGTTCTTCGGCATAGGTAGAGCGCAATTCGTTCGCAATGTACGAAGCTAGCGCAGAAGAGGACGACGTCGCTGACGGAATCGAATTCGGAGGGTAGGTGATGTCGAGGATAGGAGAGTGAGGGTTGAGTGAAACCGTCGTAGAATCTCCAGGGCTGAGGCGGATCGTAAGGGCGACCTGGGAGTCATCCTCGGGAATGACGGCGTCGCCGTCTCGAGGCGCAAGCTGCAGACGGAGATGATGACCCGAGAAGTCGTTGAGATCGTCGAGCGCATGTTGAGTAAGACGAAGGAGATTCTGCGCCTCCTGCTCCTGCAGCTTGTTCGCCTGCACCGATATGCGGAGAGGGAAAACAGGACGGCAAGCCTACGTAAATAGTCAGCGGATTGTCCTCCCTCAACATGTAAAGACGCCGGCTAGCATTAGCCTACCTTTCCATCAGCCCATTGAACCATCCCGCTCAGGGGTAGGTTGGCACGGTAGATGCTCGTTGTCATCCACCATATTGGCAAGCCAAGGAGAAGAACAATGGCCCAGAAGGCAGATATGACAAAGGACCGACGGCGCGCATCGGAAGGCTTCTCGGGGGGCGGAGCCTTGCGGGACTCGGACTGCGATGGAGGGGCGGAGGTGGTGGGTTGATCGGGGGTGAAGCTCGCACCGCTGACTGCCGGGCTGCCTGCGTCGTCGTCAACGGGCATTGGACCAGCCTTTGCCGTGTACGGCAATGTTCGGTAGAGTCTACGCAGCAGTCGTGAAGTTGAGCGATGCAAGCTGCAGTAAGCAAGCTACAATGATCATGGGAGGTGGAATTCCAGCAAGGGGTATTCGCAGAGACAGGCCAGAGATGCTTGACTCAGTAACGCCGCGCTTGAGGGGAGCTTCCGATAAGATAAGAACCAAGCAGCCACGCAGCCACGTTAACCTTAACCTTAATTGCGGCGCGCAGTCACGTGGGGTATGCAATTGGAGGGCCGAATCGTAATAAGCAGACATTCTGTCTAACAAGGTCAGACATCTCCAGACACCACTTTGATGCCTGTTACCGCTATGGCATCCAGCCACAACTATCCGTATTGTGTACGGGACACAAGCAATGGAAGCCTTTGACCTTACGATACATATATGCTATACACCTGTCTCTTGTTCGGCCACGAAACGAAGGCATTCTCAGGTGCAAAGGCGTGTTCTGCCTTTGACCGTTGCTTCATTCACCACTCTCTACCCGCACTTCGGGTGAATCTGTCACAATGCGTCCGTCGGATGCGAGTGCGAAATTGACGCCTGCGCCCTCGGAGGCGATTAGACGTTATCTTTTCCCCTTGGGACAACGCCGCCGTGAGACGGTGGGATGAGCGGCAACGATCCAGTTCAGGGACAATTCAGGAGTCCGAGGCCCGATTTTCCACCTCTCCACACCAACATGCAGAAGCGGGACCGGCATCGAATATTGTCGCCGACTCCTCCGCCAACCCAAATGTTGAGTGAGCTGACCATCAGCCGAGAAGCGACCTCAAAGGCGCCCCTCCAATCTGCCGCAATGGCTGTCGTCCATTACCACGAATCACTCGTGATGGTACAAAAGAAAGAACAATGTTACCCCATTAGGAAGGCGAACGTACTCGGAGTTTTGAAGCGAGCCTGGCGATCCCTTCATAGTGCCGTGCCATGAGCCAACGGATTCTTACTGCTCGGCATGCATTCCCGGTCTCCAGATGGATCCGTCGAGCCGAGTCAAGTCGGTACGGAGACACGGGCCCAGAGATAACCAGCCTGAAGCGATCTAGCAGAGCTTTTAGCTCCGGGACACCTCGCAATGGAAGAGAAACACGCAATAGACCCCTGGTGCATCGAGCCGTCGTCCATGTAAGCCGATATTAAGCAAACGTCCGCCACGAGTTGCACATGTATGGCGCTCCCCTCGAGTGCCTGCAGAAGGAAATGTGTCAAGAGCCGCAGAACCAAAGGGCAACACCTCGGCAACCATTGCCACTGCAGAGTTCATCGGAAACACAAACGTGCTATTCGATCTGTTGCGAGCGGTCCGTAGCTGTCGAAAGGCGGCTTGCGCCTAGAGAAACAGAGAGAGAAAGCGAGCGGTAGGTTCGCTCCCGTCAAACCGGGTCGTCTGGACGGGAGATGCGGACAGCGGCAGGGGACCAGGGACAGGCATCTCTGGAAGACTGGGGAGTCTGACAATGAGAAGCAGGAACATGGAATGCAAGGAACAACCCCGCTCTCTTGCCGACGAATCGCAACTCGCCGTTGAAGAAGCATCCATCAGAGAGTCCAGAGTCTTACTGTTTAGCCTGCGTTTGCTGCCCACCCCTCCCGAATCGGTTACTCAAAACGAGTCCTGGTGCAGAGTACAGACGCGAGGGGCGCACGAGCTTCAACAGATGCCGAGGCTCATGCTTCGATTTGTTCTTCGTTTAGCCCAGTTTGGCAGGCCAGGCCAAGCCTGGCGATGCAGCAGCAAACACAAACGCAACGCAAAGCAACGAGCTGCACTGGATCTGCGGCTGCTGGCTGGCCTCTCTCTCTCTCTCTCTCTCTCCGCACTCCACAGGACTGTTGCAACCTCAAGCATGCAGACGAAAGTATCCGTACCGTGATGGGCGAGCTAAGGAGGACATGATACCGCACTCGCACAGCCCGGCGCGCCGAGAGAGGCCAGCAATGCCGTCCTTGGATCCATCTCCACAACCCAGTCATTGCCTGCGACGGCCAAGCACACGCAAAGCAAAGCATAGCTAGCATTACGCAGTAGAGCTGCCACCGTCGACTTACACCGAGGCCAAAGTCAACCATTCAGTTCCACAAGCGCGTGCAGCTGCAGCTACGCAGCACCACGAGCAAACACCAATGCCAACACAAGCGCCAACGTGACAGTCGTAGCTGGTCATATTCCTCAGCTGTCGAGAGGGAATGTCATGCCAGGACCTTGTTCATCATCGATTCATCGTTGATCAAGAGCTTCTCCGCCACCCCAACCCTGGTCTAGAGCCCCATAGAAGGATGTTCTCCATTGTCCCGCCCATCTGGTCGCCAAGTTGCACCTAGTCAAAGAGGTACATGGATTCCCACATCCCAACAGCCGAATGTTGAGGTCACTGCTCTTCTGGGAGTACCGCACCGAGTACGGATACTGTTTGGCGAGAATCGGAGGGGGGTGCAAAAGGTGCTGCGTCGTGTTGTGTCGTGTTGTGTTGTGTTGTGTCGTGTCGTGTTGTGCATGATAGGACCGACAGGTGGTTTTATCCCATCTTTTCCCCCCGTATGGGTCCCTCAAACCAGGGACGACACATCCCAATGCCGACTGCAACACAGGCTTTCTACTTTTTAAACCCTTTTTTATCTTGTGACAGCCTCGACAAGCCGTTACAAATACCTATCCTCACCCACACCCTCGCGCAATTGGCTCACTGCATTTTCTTGCCTTTGAAGTCTTGACTACGTTCGTAGCCTTTGCTCTGAGCCACTCCTACTTGACGAGGACTTCTAGCATACACGATCACAGCCTTAGAGCTCTCTCTCTCTCTCTCTCTCTCTCCACCAGCTACAGATTCAGACAACACCGCTCTCTCCAAATCTCACACACCGAACCAACAACCAGGCGCACATTCAAGTCACTTGGTCACTTTCCGCCTCCCTGCCGGCCGACCTGCTCATCTCTCCTCGAATTTCAGCACGGCAGTCAACTTTTGGCACGAACTACCTCTACCCCGATCTAAAAGATCTAAAAACTGGCCACTCGGCCAAAGTGACAATGCCTGGTGAGTGAGCTCTCCCTATCTTCCAAATTTTCTTTCAGGGCTCCCACTCTGTCATGACTATTTGGCCCTTGTTAAGACCCGCCAAGAAAAACAAAAAACCTCCGCAAAGGAGGTCAACCACACACTCAATGCGCCGCAATCGCGCATTACATCGGCCTGCCTCGGCACAGCCATCTGCACAAAACATCGTGGGGGCCGATTGCGCTGACTTGTTTCGTTTCCTCGCCGTTTAGTACCGCTCGCACTCGCTCTGCCGGCTGCAGCCGCAGCTTATTCGTACATCAACGCTCGCATTTCTTTGTGGTACGACAGAAAGCTGCTCTCCTGTGCGCTACCCGCAACCCTGTCGGCTTTGTGGCGTGAGCGAACAGACCGGTTGAACCAGTTTTACATCCTCGAACAAGCGGCACAGAACAAATCATCTGCCAATCGCACGTTCATCATCTTCGAGGGCAAAACATACACCTACCGCGAGACGTACGAGCAGGTCCTGAAATATGGCACCTGGTTGAGGGAACGCCACGGCGTCAAGCCCAAGGACATTGTCGCCATCAACTTCCAGAACTCTGACGTCTTTGTTTTCTTATGGCTCGGCCTGTGGTCCATTGGCGCAAAGCCAGCCTTCATCAACTACAATTTGACCGGCAAGCCGCTAGCCCACTGCGCCAAGGCCGCGAAGACGAAGCTGATGCTGATTGACCCCAACGTCGCCGCCAATGTCACTGAAGATGTGAGGAACGAGCTGAACACCGTGCAGTTCGTGGTGCTCGATGAGAGTTTGCATAGAGAAATCGACGCCGTGAAGCCCAGGCGTGCTCCCGACTCTGATCGGTCCGAGAGCCAGTACCAGAATCTGGCGATTCTGATTTACACATCAGGAACAACAGGCATGCCCAAACCCGCCATTGTATCCTGGGCGAAATGCATCGTCGGTGGTGTCTTCACGTCGAGACTCACGAGCAACTCTCCCAACGACGTCTTTTACACTGTAGGTCAAACTCTCAGCCCGCTATGCAACGTGAACTAACAGGAATCAAGTCTATGCCGCTGTATCACAGCTCTGCGGCCTTGCTAGGATTCGGCAACACCCTCGAGGCGGGTGGCACGATTTGCATCGGAAGGAAGTTCTCGACCAAGGTTTTCTGGGAGGAGGTTCGCTCGTCCAAGGCCACTATCATCCAGTACGTTGGCGAGACCTGCAGATATCTGCTGGCAGCCACCCCGCAAGTCGATCCCGTCACCGGCGAAAGTCTCGACAAGAAGCACAATGTGCGGGTGGCTTTCGGCAATGGTCTGCGGCCGGACGTGTGGAACAGATTCAAGGAGAGGTTCGGCATCGATACCATAGCCGAGTTTTACGCAGCCACCGAAGGTTCTTTCGGAACTTGGAACTTGAGCCGAAATGACTTTGCCAAGGGCGCTGTTGGTCGAAACGGCACCCTTTACAGCATGGTCATGGGCCTTGACGTTGCACTTGCCGAGATGGATGAGAACAACGAGGAGCCTTGGAGGGACAGGAAGACGGGCCTGTGTAGGCCTGCCAAGGCTGGCGAGCCAGGAGAGCTCATGTTCAGGCTCTCGCCTGACGACCTCAACCGCCGCTTCCAGGGTTACTATGGCAATCCTGACGCGACAAAGGCAAAGGTTTTGCGGAGCGTCTTTAAGAAAGGAGACGCCTGGTTCAGGACTGGCGACGTCGTCCGCTGGGACAGCGAAGGAAGGCTCTACTTCACCGATCGCATTGGTGATACATTCCGTTGGAAGAGTGAGAACGTATCAACACAAGAGGTCGGCGAGGCTGTTGGCTCACACCCGTTGGTTCAAGAGGCGAACGTCTATGGCGTCGAGTTGCCCAATCACGACGGCCGCGCAGGGTGTGCCGCCGTCGTCCTCCAAGGCCAACCGTCCGAGGAGGTGCTGAGGAGCATCGCACAGCACGTGAAGCAGTCACTACCCAAGTATGCTTTGCCCATCTTCCTGCGAGTCATGCCTCCCGAGGCTATGCAGACGACGGGTACAAACAAGCAGCAGAAGCACGGTCTCCGGTCCCAGGGTGTCAGGCCCGGCGGCACGGACGCCGCTGGCGAAGTGTACTGGTTGAAGAACAACACCTACGAGCCCTTTTCGGGGCGCGATTGGGATGAACTCAATGGCGGGCGGGTGAAGCTGTAGATTTCTTTTCTTGGGACTGTTTGACTGCTAGCGAGATACCACTCTTACCTTACTTCATTCGCTTAGAACATAGCTAATACTGGCACATTACATTTACACGTTCAAAAACCACATGCAAGCGACCCGCGTTCCCATGAACACTGATATTTTCTTTACTAATCTGGAGAGTGAGGGCTACATACCTTAGGTCAAGTTCCCACCTTTGCAGTTCATTTAGAGTTTATCCCTCGGCCAGGAAACCACAGTCTTCTAGCTGTGATAGTGGCGAATTCTTACCATGAAATGATAGGCAGCTGCGCCGTTTATTCACATCTCCGTTACTTAAGAAAGGCAATGCAAGCCAAGTAGGAAAGCGACCAATCTATTTCATCTTTCCATAGTTTCGACTTCAGCCTGACAAAGGCACGTACAAAGTATGCCTTTGTATCTGTTCAGTCATCCGATCATTCGAGATCGATGGCAGATTATCTATACAACGCTGATACCACATCACGGGCTCGTTATTCACGTTATGTTAATCCCACTCTAGCCAGCTTCACTACTTCGCGTGATACCTCGTAGATGATTCACGAATGAGACATTGGAGAGTATATAGACTCGAGATGTTTCGACCCATCAAAGCTATTCTCTTCTACATCATCACAGACCGTTCCAACATACTGCATATCTCGATCTCCCACCACATCATACACCCATCTCACTACAAAATAACCCAACAAAGCAGCTTACCTCGGTCTTCTTCCATATCATACACTCAACTCACCGCAAACCAATACACCGAGACAAAATGCCTCAATCTTCGTCTTCCACAAGACCCAAAATGAACCAAACCATCACCACCAACGTCAAAGTGACGAACAGCAAGAACAACGATCCCCCTTCGCCCAGCACTGACCCCCCTACTCCCCCGGCCAGCCCTCTCCGATGAATGGACTTTAGCAAGATCGCGTCACCAGAGATTCGATGCCCAACCAGTTTTTAGGGCGTCCCATGGCCAATAGAAAAGAAACATGGTTATAGCAGAAGTAGTCCATAGTTATCAGTAATACAAACAATATCAAACACTAAACGACCTCCTTCGGCTTCGGCGATGTATATCCGCGATGTATACCATACCTCACTTCCTCAACTCGTCTTCCTCAGCATGCCCCCAAGAGTAGACATAACCTCCTCCGCCTTGCGCACAATAAGACTAACATGCCCCTCCCCCTCAACCAACCTCACCTCCGCCCCCGGCAAACACTCAGCCGCCCGTTCCGCAAGACCAGCCGGCACATTAACATCCTCCCTCCCATGCCACCAAACCATCTCTCCATCTCCAACTTCAAGATCCCCAATCTCAAACCTCCAATGACTCCCCGCCAACTTGACATCCCAAGCCGGCCCCCAGCCTCCGGGTACCACAGCATCCCGCACGCTAGCAAGCATAGCAGACCGGACCCCGCCAACATCCCCGTCCAACACATCCCGATCGACCCCCGGCCTCGTCTTCAAATCCTCCAGCACGATCCCCTCAACTTCTCCGGCCGCGCCTCGTCTCGTGCCGCCCTGCCCAACGACATCTCCATACCCCACGCCACGAGCGGCGTAAGCCACGGCGCCACGGTCAACATCACCCGCCCTTGAAGCAGCATACCCGCGTATCCCAGCTCAGGCGGATACAACCCCGAACAAATCCCTGCTACCACAAGCCTCTCGCGCGGGATGGCTTTCCAGCTGGCAAAGACATACGGTGCTCCCCCGGACAGACCCAAAACCCCGAACCTCGAGATTGCAAAGTAATCTGCAAAGGCGAGGACGTCGACAGGCCAGTCTACGATGCGCCTGTCGGGCTGGACACTGGAGCCGGCGTGGCCTGGTCGATCGAGGGCGATGATTTGGACGTCGTGCCGGCGGGCGGCTTGGTGGAAGATTGAGGCTTCTTCGTGGCTGCTGGGGAAGCCGTGGAAGTAGAATAGCACCGCTGCCGGACGCGGGGGTTGTTGGGTTTGGTGCGTGGAGGACGGGGTGGTGGTGAGTGTTTCTGCGCCGGTGCCGAAGACTGCGAAGCTTAGGGTGCGGTTGTCTGGTAGTTGGAAGGTCCTTGTTTCGGCTTTTCTGTAGTTTGGGTCCATGGATTTGTTGAGCCTGGTTGGTATGGCATTTGGGTTCTGGAGGCTCGTGTTCCTCAATCACCAGGGAAGAGTGTCGCTGTTGATAATGATGTTCGATGTCGGCTTTTCTCTCACGCTGGGTCTTTTTTCTTCTTCTGTTTCTTCCTGCAATAGTTGATTGTCGTCTTTGTAAGGTTCAAGAACACGCAGAGGCGTCGGGTATTGAGCAAGGTGATCACATGGCACTCTCGCGGAGGTCAACTCCGAGTGCGCAAGGCAGCAGCATCTTCCCATGAACCTCCCCCTCGTCATTTCAAACATGTAGTTCAGCTCACGACTCACCACCAGCTCTGTATTTCTGTCCAGAGCACCCCACCGGTCGAGGCGCGTGAGAACGCTGATGATCCTATCGAGTGGCGCAGCATTTTACCGAGATGATTGATGCCCGTCAAATTGTGCTTCTACTTTCACTAGAGAGCATTGACACGGCAGGCAGGCTATACAGCGTGCCAACAAAGACACCGATGGATACTGGTCCCGAGAAGTAAATGAACGTCCTTCTCGTTGTTGCGACACTTGTTTACAACGACGAAGGGCTCAAGGATGAGGTATGAGTGGGCAGTCTTGGAGATGTTCAGCCATTTGCCAGACAACTTCAACAAGCCCCGAGGACCACGGCAAATTTGTAATCCAGAAAGTGCCGGAGGGATATTCGACGAGATCAACACGATGCCTCGATACCCCGAGGGAGCAAGCATAGGTCGCCTTACTCCTCCAGGCTGCTCCAGGATGAATTGTCTTTTTGAGCCCGGGGATCGGCAGCCGGCAGTCGGCGCGGGACGGAGGAGGTCGGCGATGTGAGTGGGACCGTGAGACGGGAGGGGCATCGGTTGTCGGCGATGGCGTGCGAGGAGCTACCCGGGGGGGCTGGATGGGTAAGCTTGGTATACGGAGTACCACGATTCGGATACCTTTTATGCCGTGGCACCTTTCTAGGATTCTTTTATGATGGTTCGATGTGCGGCGTGGATGATGTGGTGACCAAGCAGTGGGGGTCAGTGGTCTGGAGGTTACGAGGGGTTGCTGCTGACTGGATTGCACCATTGATCGCCGTTGGACGTTTTTCTGCATGCCGTTAAGATCACTACCCAATATAAAGAATCAATAGAGAGTAAGGAGCTTTACTGGGCTATGCTTGGATATATCTCGGGCTTCACACACTGCTGAAGAATATCTACGGCATCACAATGTGAGGTGACGGGCAAAGTGGACCGCACCCTCAAAACTCCCAGATAAGAAACAATACACCATTACACCACACCCTGTAGCACTTCCTAGCGGGTTAGCCTCTGCAGATAGCGCCGTAAGGGTTCTCCCAAAGGGCCCAGTAGGCGTCTTCTTTAGGGGATGATTTCTCATGATGTGCCCTGAGCCAAAGATGATGTAATCGAGCACGCCATCGGGTCTAGCCGATTTCGGACTTGGAGGGGTAAAAAGTGACACCTGCAAAAGGGAAAAAATACAGCCCCTCCAACGCGGGGCAGAATTGGAGCTCGTCGTTGAGGGAACAACGTGCCAGTTTTCGAGTGACACGGGTACAAAGACAAATCACCTTTGGGTAGATAGGATGCCGTTACCGAGGGGATTCTGTGGCTTTCTACGAGTTGCTAATGCCAATGCTTGGTGATGTGACGGTTCATTGGGTGAATGCTGACAGTTGTAATAGAGCTGGACCGTGTAAGTTGCATGAGCTTGGCAAGTCGGCGACCATTTTGTCAACTGAAACAAGGTTATGCTATGATACCCAACGAACAAAAGAGAATGGGAAACTTCAGGATACAGCCAAAGGCCGAGGAATAGGGAAATACTCCAATTTGGGTACCGATAGCCAGAGTCAGGCATGGTGACTGAAAGGCAGTAAGGAGGGGACGAACTGGAGGTCGAGGTACCTTGGAGAACGGGACGGGAAGCTGAGGAAAAAGGTACAGAGGTACAGATACGGCCGGGCTTTGTACGTTGCTCTGGACTGTATGTCTGGGGCGCGGCTTCGAGCTATATATTCCACCTCGACTCCCACACCATCAGCTGCCGTCCTCCCCCGCCTCTGCTTCTTCTTGCTCGTTGTTCTTCCATACCGTATACCCCTTCACACACATATTCTCATACTCTAAAAAGAAGACAGACACAATGGCTGACCAGCGCCCCGCTCCGTAAGTTGCTCAACCCGCCTCATAGAAGCTCAACCCTGTGCCGCGATACCCCGCCGTAGCCGACGACGACGAGCCCGCTCGTCCACCCGTCTCTTGACATCAATGCTAACATCACACCTTCACAGCCTCCGCCTCGGCACCGTCGCCCCCAACTTCAAGGCCGACACCACCAACGGCCCCATCGACTTCCACGACTTCATCGGCGACAGCTGGGTCGTCCTCTTCTCGCACCCGGAAGACTACACCCCCGTCTGCACCACCGAGCTCGGCGCCTTCGCCAAGCTCGAGCCCGACTTCTCCAAGCGCGGCGTCAAGCTCATCGGCCTCTCCGCAAACACCCTCGGCTCCCACGAGGGGTGGATCAAGGACATTGACGAGGTCACCGGCTCCAAAGTCGCCTTCCCCATCATCGCCGACAAGGAGCGCAAGGTCGCCCTCCTCTACGACATGCTCGACTACCAGGACACCACAAACGTCGACGAGAAGGGCATCGCCTTCACCATCCGCTCCGTCTTCATCATCGACCCCAAGAAGACCATCCGCACCATCCTCTCCTACCCGGCCTCCACCGGCCGCAACTCCGCCGAGGTCCTCCGCATCGTCGACTCCCTCCAGACCGGCGACAAGCACAAGATCACCACCCCCATCAACTGGGTCCCCGGCGACGACGTCATCGTTCACCCTTCCATCAAGACCGAGCAGGCCAAGGAGCTCTTCCCCGAGGTCCGCATCGTCAAGCCCTACCTGCGCTTCACCCCTTTACCCAAGGAGAAGGCCACCGTCGCCTAAGTACAGGCGCCAGTGGCCACGAGTGGAACTTGGTATGGGGACGGTTTGTCGGATGATGGGTCTCGCTCCTTGGTGCTTCAATACTTGAGGGTCTGAAGAACGACGAGCGGAGGACGAGATTCAAGAATGTTGAAAATGCAAAAAGGGCCGAAGCTGTCAAGCATAGGATAGGATACCGACTCCGTCCAACCTGGAGACGTGCATACAAGCACTCTCCATCTGAATACCCGGCGTGGCGCTGCGAATGGCAACATGACCCTTCGGTCCGCCTTCAATGGGCGTGGCCTGGGCAAGTAGCAGCGTGTTCGCTCTGACTACCTTTTATATATAGAACGTATGAGATAATGAGAAATGTCCAAAATCCGTCCCTTCTCGCGATGTGATCGCAACGTGATGTTCAGACAGCTATCACAAGTGAACCCTTTCGTCGACCAATGATGTCCTCGAGTATCTAGACTTCTAGTATTTCGAGCATCCATCCCGAGTAGGATTGCAACTTCCAAGACGCTCGATCTCGATCATTAGGCGTACCGCGGGAACACTTTGGATACGGGAACCATATGTTGAACGATCGCAGCTATCACCCCGGTCCTCCATCATGCCAAGGTAAGATGCGGAGAAGGCAGTATCGAGCTTGTTTGACTGCAACATTGTAGCAACTTGCTCTCGTGGCATCTTCGTCGTGGCCTGTCTTGGAGAAGGGGAATGTCAATGGATATGTAGCTCAAACAAGGCGTTGGACTGAGACGCGAAGGGGAGACGAAATGAGGTTCAGACACGCCCATCGTCGCACTTGTCCTTCATATCAAGCCCCAAAATGTAAGGACGTCGTAAGCGAAGCCGAGCCTGACAAGGCACATGGAGGTGGAGGCGCGTTTCCGTACCACCGTTTGTCTGTCTGGAAATGACACCGGTATATAGCATATGGACCCGTGGATGAATGATCGGCGGTCCGGCACGGAGGCAACCGCTGATGAGCTTCCAGGGGCTCGTTCCACGTTGACAACCGGCCTGCCTCGCGGGAGGCCCTTTCAGCTCTTTGACCTATTGATCAGCTAGCCACGGGCGAAGCGGCCACTCTTCCCCGCCATTCCATGACTCGGCCGAACAGACGCGGGCCAGACCGGAGGAAACGGTCGGTCCATTTCTCGGAAAACTACTCCGTAGAAGGACGCTAACTCGGCCATTGCACGAAAAGGAGAACGCCCGCCTTATATTGACCAGACCATCTTGGAGTGGTAGTAGCGCTCCTCAGCTAGAGTGAACCGGCTGCCTGGCTAGGACGCATTCGGGGCGTTGGTCGAGATGCAACGGAGCAGGTGGCTTTCTTGGTTCGAGGGACCCAGACAGGCACAATCCTGGCGCGACACGAGGCAGAGGCCCAATCTTTGCACAAAAACGAGGCTGGAACAATTCGAGAACCAGGGGACAGCTGGGGAATGTTGAAACATCCGCATCCACCCAAAATGACAAGTGGCCGGGTTCCCACGTTTTCCCACGTCTTTGTAATTCGTAGCGTGTGCGGGTTGTTCTGTAGTGTACCATGGTCCATGTGTGTGAGCCGTGAGGGTGCGCCGCCGTCCGCGATCCGCGGCGCCTGTCCAGTCATCAGTGTTCCCAAACTTCCAGGGCCATCGTCGGGTCGGCAGGGTGCCTATCCCGGGATTGCTCGCCTGAGACATGACAGGCCAGGCAATGTTTGTTTCCGACGAGGGGGCAAGACACAAGACGCAAGGGGACTTGTTGCTGGATCTGTTAGTGTCACCGACGCGGTACAGTTGCCAGTAATCAGCATGGATAGGTATCCTGCCACCTGTATCCATACAGTGATACCGTATGGGTACTCCGTAACGGAAGCTAGGCTGTAGGCTCCAGCCTTCAGCCTCCTGCTCTTCATCGCCAACGGGGTCAATTTCGTCCTCAGTCGTCAGCTGGCCGGGGATGGAGGCGGGCCGGGAAAATTGTTCTGGTTAAAGCACCAAGAGCAGACAGTGTAACTTGTATCCGTAAGATGACGGTAAGAGACAGGGGAAGAAAAAAAAAACCAAGAGCCGCACAGCAAACAGACAGCGTGGATGACAGGCCCAGAGGAGCGGTGACGACAAGGACCAGGACAGGGACCAGCCTCACCTGGTATCCGTATCCTCTGGTATCTTGTTGAGTCTCTGTGTATCATGATGTATTCCAAGCCCAAGCGTACAATCAACGCCATCAAAGCTTTCAAACCGGATCAGTATCTTTATCCATGGGACCTGGATGTATTCGAGTTGGAGGACAAATAGCAATCCTTTTGGTGCCGCTTTCCCCTCCGTTTCGCAAGGGTGGGTTGGTGTAGGTAGTGTATCCATAGCGTGTGGGAATGTGGGAAGCTGGCACACGTTCTGTGGCTGCATGTGCAGCGTTTCTGCAAGATATAGTATGCCTGCGCCTAGCACCAGAGTACTGTAGACACACACCTAAAGACCGGAAAAAAGGGTCCTCTTGCAGCTCGATCGTCTGATGTTCCTTCCCCTCCTGCTTCTCCTGCCGCTGCCGCAGGATTCCGATTGATGGTGCGTGGTCCGGCCTGCGGGACAAGAGGATCGGCGCGCAGTTGCGGCGGGCCCCCAACGTCGTACAGCGTAAGACCAGTGTGGCAGCGCGAGAGACGGCCCTGAGGTTCAAATATCGAGACCAGAAGCGACGAGGGCCTTGACTGTGTTCCGTAGTCGAGCTGTGCTTGGTGTGCGTTGGGGTATCTAGGTAATTGAGGTGGCTTCTTTTCATCTCTTGGAATTCCCTCGTTTGCTCCCGCGAGAGGGGCCGACGGGAGTTTGGGTCCTTTGGAAGTTGGGAGGGGTGGTTGCTGGGGGTTGAAGTCCTGAAGACTGGAGTTGGAATGTACGGATATGGATGTGTGAGGTGTGAAGATGGGGACTCCGGGAGGTACACCTGAGGCTTACCTAAGGTACATCTGGAAAGTCCCTGGGAAAGGGGGTCAGTGCGTAAGTGTTTGTCAATTTACCAGCAGAGCACACAGAGCCAGCCGTCCGTTGGCTCCTTCTGAGTCCTGACACCTGAGAGTGAGAGTGAGAGTGAGAGTGAGAGTGAAAGTTGAGACTGAATGTGACATGACCTCACTCGCTCACTCACTGGACGATCAGCCATTATGAGATGAGTTCACTCAGGTTGTGAGTTAAACTTGAGCACAGGGCAGGCTGGTATCTGTTTGAGTGGTCACGGGTGAGAGATGGCATGCGGTCTAGGAAATAGGGCAAAGTGTGAGAATACGACGATGTTTATTCAGGATAGACTTGCCATGTAAGGCAAGGTGTGCTGTGCTTTACTTCGTACGGAGTACGGATACCCATTCTCCAATCTCACAACGCCTGGGCTGATGTGACCGGCGGCGTGGACATCGGCAGGGATCAATTCTTCCTCCCCTCCTTTTTCTTGACTTGTACGTTTTCACCTACCATTTCTCACTCACCCCTTTTCTCATGCTCGAGTTTACTGGTTTATTTGTGTGTTTTCACAGACTCGCAGAGCAATGTCTAGGCAAACGAAAACTGCGATATTTAAATACACAATTGGACTCTTGAAAGTGCAGATACCTATGTTTGTAAGGCAAGGTATCCGTAGGTGACCAATGGAACATTGCAAAAGGTTCGACTCCCAGGCTCACCCAGATGAGACTATTCCACACACGGCAATAATCGGCTCCCCCCCCCCCTTCTCCCCAACCATTTTGATCAATCAAGTTGCTCACTTCAGTCTCTCGTTTTCTTTTTCCGTTTCCCACCCCCCCCTTTCTCTTTCTTCCCTCCCCTTTTCCCCTCCCTTCCCCCCTCCCACTGCTCCCAAACCAATCCCAATCACTCCAAATCCCCATCACGAGCCCCATTTCCCATGCTCTCTCTCTCTCTCTCTCTCTCTCTCTCTCTCCTGGGCACTCTCAGACCGCCAACACCGCCCAGCTGTGAGCGCGCTACGCTGTCCACTGTCAGTAAAGTCAGTGTCTGCCCAGCGCAATTGCTCACGTACGAATAGGTACCTAACCTCATGCTGCAGAGAACTGGAGGGCACCTCAGTGGTACTGGTACACGCTGCACACCACCCACGACACCCACGTTGAAACATCGCCGTCTACCACACGGCACCACGGGTACTGCGGTACAACCACGAATACCTGCTTCCACTCCTCCTCGCCTTGTCTCTACTCTGTTTCGTTTCGCATCTCGCATCGCCTGGCGCGCGCTCTCTCTCACACTCTCGCACTCTCCTCTTGAGTCTTGACTAGTCTGTAAATACGAGTCAGGCCAGACAGACTCCAGAGGAACCATCCATCATATCCATATCTCGTTGCTCCCACCTCCACCCGGGCACATCGACTTTTTCTGCAGACTGCACCTCGCACGCTACTCTCTCTGTACGAATACATCTCGCATATTCCCCGCCGGCCTACCTTTCGCATCGGCATCATCACCAGCAGCAGCAGCAGTAGTCGCAGTCACAGTCACATTCCCCTGCTGCGGCCTTTCACACCTCCATCTCTCAAAAGCTCGAATCAGTCCACGGAACTTGCAGTACCTTCAAGTTACTTCGACCTCACAGGTTCGACCCGCCGTCCAGCCCACTTCTTCCCTCGCGTCCGCCTCGGAGCTCAAGCTGTTTTCCAACCCTCTGCCCGGTCCGTCTACCCAAAGTCAGTCTGTGCGCCCAAAACCAAACGAACGCCCCCCCTCCACAACCTCCTCGAGTCCTCCCCGTGCGAAAAGGACAAGTGAAAACCAAGACGCCTACAGCACACGCTTGTCCCTACATCGACAGTTTCTTCGCCCAAAAGAGCAGGCATCTGGAAATTAACGATTGCAACCTTGCTGGTGGTCCTCCGGCCGTTGCCGCCGCCCCTACTACTGGTCCTAGTCCTTCTTGGAATACTCCTCATCGTCGGACTTCGACTCCATACTTACGCGGATCCCTTTTTTAGGTCCCGTCACCTTTTCCACTTTGCCTCACGCGCCTGGTCCTTTCGACACGGCACTGACTTGCTGGGTACACCGTCGTGACCGCCGTCCAACACACGTCCCGTACCCTGTTGCGACTCTACGGATACAGCGCTCTCTGTCTTCTCTGTACCGTGTGCGGATACCCTACCGTACCAGAGAACGACCCTCAATTCTTGCTGCTCACCGCACCTGAGTCGTCTCGAGACCGCTATCCCCGTCGCCCTCGCTGTCGCCGGTCGCTGTCTCCGTCGTCGTTATCGTCTTCGACGTTGATCCTTTTCTCTGACTCGACTCGACACGACTTAACTCAACTCATTGACTTTTGACCCGATCGACTTCTTGGAGTCACTGCGCCTCCCCTGATCCTAGGTGCGTACCGTTCGTACTTCGTACTCCGTAAACTTCAAGCTCGTTGCCCTTCTCGTCCACTCCCCTCCTCTCCTATCCCATCCATGATCCCCATCCACATCCTGTGCCCATTTGTCCTCCACACCCTAGCCCACATCCCACTCTATCTCTTGTGCGCCGCTTCCTGTCAACTGTGGGGAGGAATAGCGGACAAAAGAGAGAGAAAGTGAGAGAGAAACACGCACAAAAGAACGGAGCAGACAAGGCCTCGCTCCCTCTCAGCCCAGCCCAGTCCCAATCCCAGCCGAGCCCGGTCTAGCCCAGGAATCCACCCCGGAGACACATACGCACTCCACGCACAGAGTGAAAGCCAGACAGATACTCAACCGGAGCCTACCCGTCATAAGTTACCAGGGGCCTAGCAGAGCCGGGTGAACAAGCGAACCTGGGTTGGGATTGCTTGAGCTGGGGTTTCTGTTCGCTTCATCATTTACTCATTTTTGCATTTTCCCTTTCTTACCTTTTGGTTTCCGTTTCTTGGCCTTTCTTTTGGCTCTAGGATTGTCGTGTCTCGGTGTGCCCTCACTTCTTCACGTCGAACCCCAAGAACGAGCCAGCCACTCTCTACACTTCCTCATCCCACCACTTCTTCCCACGACTCCTCTTCTTGTCTGCTTCTTGCTTTCGCCTGTTCCAAATCTTGTGGCACAGGCGCCAAACGGATCTTGGCAACCTGGCGCAGAAGCAGCAGTTTCTGTTCTGCCGAATACCACTACTCCCGAGCCCACCTTGCCTGACCGACTCGGTTCCCAAATCCCGCCCTACATGAAAAACAACTCAACCTCCTTTTGAGCCTCTGAGCGCTTTTCTTTTTTCCCAACCCGCCGAGACTGTTTCTGTTGCGCATCGCTCTCCAGGCTGTACCCACAGCCTGGGGGCTGATTGTGTCGCAATGTCTGGCCCGGGACTAACCTCGAACCAGTCTTCCGCGCAGGGCGATCTCTCGCGCTTTTCCGATTCGGAGACAGAGCAGGACAGATCTCCTCCTACAACCAAAACGACCTCGGACATCCTCTCAGGCGTATATCGCGGCTTCAAAAAGTTCGCTCCGAGTAGAGACGGCGAATCGAGGCTGACAAGACAGCCGTCACTTTCTCGCCTGGGTCTGCACAGCGTCTCGCCAAGCTTGACCTCATCGCCCTCTCCGCCCACCTCTTCGACGCCGACGCCCGTTCCCAGCTCGTCCAAGAATCGCCCGCCCCAGCTTCAGCATGGGAGGAGTCTGAGCCTACAGAGCAGCCTCGCCAAACCATTGCCCGAACCGCCAGCGTCGTTTCCCTCTCCCACAGGGCCTGAAGCACCTCCCGCACACTACAATTTGGGGGGTCTCGGTGCCATCGAGGAAGCTCCGGCCGATGATATGTACAGTCGTACCAGTACGATGGACTCTAGCGCCTCAGCGGAACGAGCACAGATGTACAGCGGCGGATCAGGATACAACGCCGACATGGCCAGCAGCCAGAGTAGCTTAGCAAGCTCCTCGCGACAAGATGGAGCCGACGAAAACAATAATAGGGAACCACCGAACTTGACTCCGCGGAGCAACGGTCCCTTGTCAGCAGGCCCTTCTCCATCTTCCAACCAGTCTTCCAACCAACAAAGAACACCCGCCTCGGCGGTCGGTACGCCCACTGCGTCTTCGTCCTCGGCGCATTTATCCGGCCTCATGTGCAACGTACATAGGACAACGGGCAGGGAACCGCATCCGCTTGTCGGAGCTACAACAACTATACTAGGGGATAAGCTTTATGTCTTTGGAGGAAGGATTTTGTCGCGGAGTCGCCCGGCTCCCCTGACATCCGATCTGTACGAGTTGGATCTGATCCGCAGACACTGGTCAAAGTTGGAAACCACGGGCGACATACCACCGCCTCGGTACTTCCACTCCATGTGCCCGCTAGGAGACACTAAGCTGGTATGCTACGGAGGCATGTCTCCTACGCCAAACCAAGCGAACGCAGGCCCGGATCAGCAACCGGAGGTGACCGTCATGTCGGACATCTACATCTACGATGTTCCCACCCGAAAGTGGACCTACATTCCAACACAAGATCCTCCACAAGGACGTTACGCCCATTGCGCCTGCATATTGCCTTCATCAGCATCGTTCGCCTCGCACAAGGCGCCACTGTCGGCATTGCAGCACAACCCATCATCCGGCAATCCCAACGAAGGAAGAATAGGAATCAACATTGATGGAACGGGCGGTGCCGAAATGGTAGTGGTTGGCGGCCAGGATGGCGCGAACCATTACATTGAGCAAATCAGTGTTTTCAATCTTCGCAGCCTCAAATGGACCGCGATCGAACCTCTTGACAAGAGCTGCGGCGCATACCGAAGCGTTGTTGCTCCTTTACCACCCTCTGTTACGGCACGAATTGGGAAATCAAGCGTCAATGGATATCAACGGGAGGGTGGCATCAGCCAAGAAGCTCGGGAGCCTGGATCCTCAATGCTCATCTATTCCAACTACAACTTCCTAGACGTCAAGCTCGAACTACAAATCCGATCTTCAGACGGCACCTTGAAGGAGAAACCCATGTCAGGCTCTTACTCGCCTCCAGGACTTCGGTTTCCGAACGGCGGCGTCATCGATACTTACTTTGTCGTAAGCGGCACATATCTCACATCTTCGAAGCAGGAGTATGCGTTATGGGCTCTAGACCTCAAGACTCTAACCTGGTCACGCATTGATGCGGGAGGTGCTGTCTTTAGCCAAGGCAGTTGGAACCGTGGTGTGCTTTGGAACCG